TCTCTCTCTCTTGCCATATAAGCATACAGCACGCACACGTCAAAGTTGGGATGAGGGGGGCTCGAGACTCGAAATGGCATCGATAAAAGCCAACAGCAGCAGCACACATCATAAAAAACTTCAAGACGAATGGCTTTTGCTACTTTCTTCGAGGCGCTGATGAAAAACCTACCGGCGATTTATATGCATGGCAATTTGTCGCCGCGCTTTGATATCATCCGAGAGAGTCTCCTTTACTTTGCCGGAAATGGAGGTGCTTTCATATATCGGTATTATTCAGTTCATTTTTTTATCGTCGTTGTCTCTTGTCAAGAACGTGCGTGTAACCTACTCGTCGATGTTGTACTGAGAGAACGGCTGTTCTTTCTTTATTTTTTTCTTGAATCGCCGCGCGCGAAGGGGATTTGTGAGAGTTGTCGGGGAATACTAATGACGCGAATAAGTATGCTGTCAATGCCGCTACTTGCTTAAGCCTTACGGTTATATTCGTGTAACAAGATGTAATGATTATTCGACGCAGGTATTTCATGTATAACGCGTAATGAGCACACTTTTTACCACTGCGTGCGCATTCTGACTAATTGTCCGTGGTGCAATTTTATTTCTTGTCTAACGTGTGGTTTGGAGCAATAACTACGTTTCACAATCGGACGATATTTGAGAACAATTAAAAAATGATTCACTTATAACTCGTCTAAGATTTTTCTGTTAGAAACTTACAAATTATGAGCCTTCTACTTTTTGATATGGTACAATGCTGGCAATGAGTGATTTTCGAAAATTCAATCACAATCTAAGGTTGATCGCTTGAAAGAGTGTAATATTTAAAGATGAAATTCAAAAGCCATCAAATGAATCAGCATTTTAAGAAGCTTAATAGATGGTACCTATGTAGCGCCGGGGCAACTGTCAAAAGCCATGACAATGGACAATGAAAGTAATGAAGATTATTACCCGAGGCTCTTCATGAGATCTCAGCCTACGCAGTTCCTGATTCATATTACTCACCACATGGCCGATTTGAGAATTACATTCTTCAATACATACTGTAATATATTTTCAAGCAATATTCAATTTGTTTTAACTATTGTTCTCTTTTATTGATGACATCGAAAGATCCAAGTTTATTTTCCTGAATACATTTTACTCGTACATTGCAAAAGCATGCCATATATGGAAATAAAAAAAAGAACTGTTTTATTTGCAAACATTAAAAAACTCTTAATTGAAGCTTTATCCAGAAATTGAATTCCGAACCGAGTCCTAAACTTCAAACAACTACATTGAGATTCGTGAACGAACACAAAGGAATGCGATGCAGGACGATTAGTTCGTCCAAGAAGCTATTTAGCCGTCTGCCATTCGTAATTAGCTCTACGATGGACAAACGGGAAAAAACGACAAAAGAAAAGAGCAAAGAAGAAACCGAAGAGAAAAGCAAAGGCTTAAATTTCGATGACGTGATTCAAGCGAGGGAGCGTGCTTGCGAGCATACGCAAGATTGAAGAAGATTGAGAGCAATCAAGACTGAAGTGAAACGCGTCTCGCTCAAAGCTGTAAGCGTGGCCCGCACCATCAACGGACACTATATACATTGATTTCGAATGGGTTATATACGAATGCCGGAGTAATTGACGGGTGGCTTCTGCCGAGCCGCCTGTTTGTCTTATTCATTTATATTCATAATAGGTCTCTTCGATTGAACCAATTTCTTTTTTTCAGTTGCCTTTGTTTGACTCGGGGATCGATGAACGTTTTATTCGAAACTTTTGTTTGATGTTAAGGATTTAGTCTTCACATTATTATAGATTCGTACGAAACAGATTTGACAATTTAAGTCAATTAAAATCATTATTCTAATGATAATAATTGTGAATAATAGTTTGTATTAAGTAAAAATTGAATACAAAAAGCTTAATCAATCTTATTTATAAAAATAAAAATATTAAAGTTGAAAGAAGCTCTTTATTCAAAATAAATCTTGATAGATACATCCAGGAAAGTTAAGTGAAATCATGTGTGAATATAAATCTCTCAAATCATCCATATTATTACACGAAGAAATTACATACGCGGGATCTACTCTCGACAATAAAATTCGCACACCACACGTAAATCTCAATGTTAACATATGTGTAGAGATACTCGCACTCGGACCTTACGGCATCTCGCGCTTTCTCGGAACATTGACCGAGACGTCAGTATCTAATGGGTACGTGTAGGTGTTTGGACTCTCGGGTTGCCGAGAACGGCTCGACGTGCGATCCATCATGCGTCTGTACGACTTTTTTATCTCCTTCCTTCTTTAGTGTGTTGCAAGCACTCGCATCGCAAGAAGAAATATCATTCATTTCTATTTTAACAAAGCGTTATTTTCTTGAGGTTGTTTTTTTCATCTACAAACACATTACATTGTATTTTTTCATCTAATGTGTGATGAATTTACAAAACTATTTGAAGTTCCAAAAACCGAACAAAAAAAAATAAATATAGAAAAGAATGAAATTAATCAGCAGTTGCAATTATGTTGACTGAATTGAATAAAGTATACGTAAATACTATTTAAAAAATCAACGATAAGTAAAAGTAGGGCAAAAAATAATTTTCAAGTTGATGATCAAAATTTAGAATAAGATTAATGTTTTAAATAAACTACTACTTAAGTAAAATAATAAAATAGATATTCACAAAAAAACGAAAGAAAAGAGAGAAAAATCAATATTTTTAAAAAGCAATTGGTATACAGAACGTTCGAAAAAAAAGTTATAAGTACAACGAAATTAGAAATAAGTTACTAAGAATAAATAATTATCTTATTAAAAAGATTAAAGCGATTGAAATGAAAAATAAAATAAGATTTACGCGAGAGATAGGCGCAGATGCTTCAACTAATTGTTCAGTAAAAATTCAGACATTATTTTTATAATAAACTTGATTGTGAAGAGAAATAGTATAAGAGATTTTCTTTCATCTCAAAATTTATATTACTTTTTTTACTATTAATTTATACTATCGAGATATATTATAAACTCATTTTTTAATGTGAACTTTGAATTTGAACTTATATAGTATTTTTATTGGCATGAAATCATGAGGTTTTTGATAGTTAGCACCATCTTATAATGTGGATGCTAAGTACGTTATATTCAATCGGTAAATAATTCATTAAACTTATCATCTAGTGATAAGATTACATAAGAGGACGGTCATAACAATAAAGATGCCTATTTTACCTACTACGAGTTCAAGTTTTCTCCAAAACGAACCAATTTTTCGCATTTTCTGAAGCTAACCGCTCTCTATGTCTCTAAATAAAAGCACCAGTCCAATTTTCTTAAACATAAATTTGTCTATTGTTAAACAGTTTTAAAACTGATGCAAGTGTAGTGGGAATACATGTCATACATTTTTACAAGTTATATGATGAACAATATAGAAAATTTAATGTTCATGAAATCTTTGGCAAATGCTTATAAGTGGAGGAACAAAGAGTGGACAATTTCGAAAAATTCGACAAATGGGTTCGTTTTGACAAGATTTGAAAAAACTCTTGGTGGATAAATTAATTGGGAATCTTTGTCGGTAACTTGAAATATAATAAATAATATTATTTATTATTATCAGAACATGTGCAATTCGTAGATTTATTGAATAAATTGTAATATTTTTTATTTATTCGAAAAATTTAAAATATTTAAAATTCACTTATTCGTGAACATGAATTTCTCAAATAAAATAAGCCATTTCAATAATAGTTTACTAATTTAAATAAGGTTTTAGAAAATGTATACAATACTCATACTATTAACAATTAAAATCAGTCGTCAACGGCCATATCAGGCTGAATAAACCGGTTCTCGTCCGATCACCGAAGTTAAACAGCGTTGAGCGCGGTTAGTACTTGGATGGGTGACCGCTTAGGAACCCCGCGTACCGTTGATAATTTTTTTATTTTGCTTTTATACAAATAATCATGGTATAATTTCGTTATTTGATCTTTTTAACTGATTCCAATGAACTTATTGCGAAAATGAAACCTGGAATGTTATTTATAATAATATAGAACCGAAATCATTAGTCACTTATAATCACAGCAGTGTTACGAGTACATGAAACAGCATACAAGCATACAGAGATATAGACACTTTATTATTAATTTTTGTATAGATAATCCTACTTTTTGTGAAAATACTATTACAATATTAATTATCCATACTAAATTCGAACAAGGTATAACTTCAAAATTATATAAATGCCAAGTGATAACACTCATAAAGAAAGCGACCGAAAGCATTTATTTTAATTATTTATAAAAATTAAATAAACTTTTAACTATAACCAAAACTTCCGCATTTACGCAATTAAAATTCTACGTGAATTGTGCTAGAGTAAATGCATGCACAAAGTGTTATAAAGAAAGAACTTCAAAATTATAAAAATGTTAGGTGCTTAGGCACGTGCAGAAAAATACAAAACTGTGACATCAAGAAAAAATAACTTTCCAAACTTGTCATTAATTCAGATGCAATTATCTAGCAAAATCTTTGTTAAAATTATAACCAGAACATTTAGATATAAGAGCACGAACATTTTTAAAATATTCTTATAAAAATAAAAAAGTTAAAGCAAAAAAAGAAAATTATTAAGGATCGTCGAAACAATGATTCTTTCATGACGCTGGATACTTACGTAAATGCACTTTAGTATATAACATAATTGTTACATCTTAACAAACATTTCGTATGTTATCTGTTACTTTCAGCTAGTAAATAAACCGGTCGATCACATTGATTCTAATTGAATCCATTCACATGTATTCATTGCACTTATAAGCCTTAAGCACTATGTAGAAATAATTCAATAACACTACACAATTCATTAGCAATACAAAAGTTGTTAAAAAATTTTTTCAAAAAACTGTTCCAAACTGAAATAAAAAATGAAATATTGAAAAAGAAAATACATTTATTATTCCATTCATAGAGTAGAAATTTATTCAAAAATTGAATATACAATACACATTTTCTGCATCATAAATTGACTTCTAATGGAATGTTAAACAGCTTTTCTACGTTGCTTTCTTTCAGGATCTTACACAATAAGAGAATATCTATATGCTCAATATTATACAATTTTGGCAAATATCAGCAAAAAAATTTCATTACCAATTTTAATTTGATAAAAGACAGTGTATTTTTGAAAAAATAAACAAACCGACATTTTATACATAGGTCATTTTCAATCAAATACTTAAATTTCAATAAGAGACAATTAGAACGATCTAACAATTATTACTGATAATGTACAATTTTTTAAATAAATTATTGAGTATTGATTATATTTACCAATGTGCACTGCACGTATAATCTATAATAAATTCTTACTTATCTATATATTCTTTATAAACTTGAAAATATACTTTTTATTCAATATTATACATGGTTGAATCAAATCCAAATCAAATTCAATTTTAAGAGTGTGTTTAAATACATATTTTCTTTAAAACATTATTTATTTAAATTATTAAAAAAATTATTTGACTTAAATTAACAACGTATGTATACTCATGTTTTCTTCAGTAGTAGGAATAACTAAAGATATAAAAATTTATATCATAGTTTTTTAAACCTGCAAATATATCTACCGATGACAATACGTTTGAACGGAAGTAAAGTGTTCAAATTCTTAGATACATTATTGCATCTCACCAACAAACATAGATGTTAATAAGTTTTTTCATTCGTTGCTCTTACGTTTCGCTTCCCTTTATGAAATGGAGTATTCTTATTACTTTATATAAATAATATCCATAGTATGATCACTATTTCAAAAGCTATGACTTAAGTAAATCAGAGTATTTTTGTAAACATCACTCAAATAGTTCAATTCAAGATACGATATTTTGACTACCTTTGACTAAATAATTAGAGGTAGTGCGTAACAGATTTATAATTGTTATAAATATAATATTCGATTATTAATTTAACACTACATACACGATACTAACAATTTATAAATTACAAAATAAGAGCAAACGAAAAAAATAAGATATCGAGTAGAAATAAAACCACATAAAGTAGCATCTAAATCGAACGCGAAGTAATGCAGAAGACCTTCACCTAATCTAGTTTTAAACACCGGATAGCAACATATTCGAAGTATGATCGACATTATTCTTATCGGCGATTAGTTACGTAATAATCTTTTTAGTAATAATCATGTGCATGATAACGTGTGTGTATAATTGTGATTTTTAAATACGAAGTAGTTCATACTTTTTTATACTATGTAGAGTAATCATAGAAAAAATAGATATCCTATTTACATAAATGATGTACACAATATTACTTGTTGCACATTGTTATTGCACAATGATGGATGTTGATAACTTTCCATCTAGATTTCAATAAAAATACGGATTTTTCCTTATAAAAATACCAAGATCCTATAAATGTTATAAAATTAAATATTTCGAATTCTTTTCGATATTACATTTTCCTTCACCACTTAGATTAGCTAACATATTATTTAATAAATCTTGCATATTAGAATCAGTTAAAAAAATAAAAATATTTTTTTTCTTAATATATCTCATTAAAATTTTGTTTATGTGTAATAATATCTTTTTATCTGTGCAATTTTTATATATTAACAATTTATTTTCAACAAATAAGGAATTTAATAACTCACTAATTAAATTAGCGTTTCAAAATTTACTATTAAGATCTTGTTTGAATATGTTTTTAGTTTCTTACAATCTATTGGCAGTTTTTGGCACGTCTTCAAAAATTGATATTATTCATGTATATTCATCGTTATTATTATAACAGTATACAATTGAATCGTAATCAATAATTTTTGAATTCCCGTTGAGATAATCGATGGACTCGATATTAATACGCATTTATCTTTCGCAAAGCAATCTCAAGTAGAATACAACAAACAACTAGAAAATAAAGGATTTCCAAATATATACAAAAAGTTATCTTATCCTCCGTTCGCCTCTCATGATCAATAATAAAAAATCACATTCACATAGCAGTCTTCCATCGCTTTACTCGTTATACAATGCATTATTCCCAGATACATCAATTTCAGGGCAGGTGAGATGAGCCAACCTCTTGGCACGTCGATATTTCACCTCGATAACGCAAAATGCGACAGTACCTAAGACGAGAAACACGATAAGTATTCCAAGTTGACCATGCAGACCTATCCATCCAGTATACGCGAAGCTAATAGCCGCAGCGACTGATTGGCAAAACTTGAAGAGCGCAAATGCCGATGAACTTTCTGTTGAATACAACACTCCTAAAAGACTGTAGACTTGTGTATTGAAGCATGCATCGCCAAAACCAAGTGTCAAACTGCCAACCATTGCCAGACCGGGCGAAGGGGTTATCACACCAATATCGCTCGTTTTCTGCGGAGAGAAATTATACACAGACAGTTATACGACTTTCTATCACGATATATCAGAGCAGGTATGAGGTCAAAACCGGTTCGGCAGAAATTAGTTTTCTCGAGACGAACTTTCAAGCCAGAGAAAAATATGCACTTTCGTTTACTCGTAGAATTGTTTTTTTTTTTTATCTTTTATTATTCAGAGGTTTATTTTGCATGAGACCTCGGATAAGATCGTTTGAACTATCTTGTTTCCAGTACAAGTATTACGAGATGCGCACATAATAAAAAAAAAAGAACTTATTCCGAGATTATTTAAAGCTCTTTGTATGTCAAGATGTTTTTTTTTATTTTTTGACAAGTTGCTATAAAATTTCACAAATATAACAGGGTCGGCAAGTTTTGCGCTGTATATGTGGATTAAGTATTCAAACGTGATATGAATTTTTTGAAATCATCTACTTTTTTTTCCTTTAGAATAATTGAATGCGTTTTTATACTTACACCAAAGGGTGCCGCATTCGGCAGGTTGAGGACGGCAGCGATAAAGGCAAAGGCGTGAACTGCGAAACCTATGGATACTACCGGCCATCCTGAGCAGCCACCACACTTGGATGCAAGCATTCCGAAGACAGCACCACCGACAACTTCGCCGATACCAACACAGATACCAGATAGTCCAAGGAGACTGTTGCGATTTGGACCCATGCTTTCAGTGAAGCTGATACTGGACGAATATACAGACGAGAAAAAGGTGAGAGAGAGTCCGGTATAGATAAAAGTTAGACTAAGCATAAGCATCCTGGTGGTAAAGAAAAGTTTAATGGCATCCGTCAATGCGTGCCAGGCAGCCAGCAAAGGTTTCTCTTTAGGACTTTCGGGGATGCGCAATTCCTTGTCGTTGCTTGAGACGCCTTCAGCTGGTCCCATGTTTTGATTTTGCGGTGGACGTTTCATCGTCAATAGTAAGCACAAGCCAACAATAGACACGCTAGTGAGAACTTTGAATGTCAAATTTCTCCTGTCAGCATTGATTTGATCGTCGGTGAAAACAAAGTAGACGAAAATATTTCCGATGAAGAGGGACGACTGGAAAATTGCCCAAAACAGTCCAGAATTTCTGGACATCGTCTCTTCATTGCTGTTGACTGTCAGGAATGTACCTTGACCTGTCCATACTAAAGCACCACCGACTCCTACGATTACCGATGCTATATAAAGGAACTCCGTTCGAGGAAATAGGAAACTTGCGATAAATAGCACGTAGCATGCGGAGCCTACTACGACGCTCGTTCGTGGTCCAGTCATCGAAATGAAAGACGGTGCTAGCCAATTGCATAATGCGAATACTCCATAGATTATGGCTAGACTTACGTAACCGTCTCCCTTGAAATTGGGATCATCCTTTCCTATACTCTCGAGTACCGCTTTCTACAAACAAAATATTCATTTCGTAAATTTTTAATTGGAAAACAATTAGTAGTTAATAATTAGATTAAGACAAACCAGAAATTCCATAAATTTTCGTTCATATTAATACTTGTGACACTAAAAGCTCTAGTGGAATATTTCAACTTTATCGTTAAGTAATGAAATACTGAATAATTATTTTACGATAAGTTTAAATAAACACGTTATTGACAACCATACATTTTTTCATAAATAAGTGAAAAATATTTTTTTTATTTATGAAAAGTTTTATAATAATAAAATTAATTTTTGCGAAAAATAATTTGTTTACGAACGGCATTTATGCAAATTAGCGTAATCAAAATTCAGCAAGCTAACGTAATAGATAGAAAGTTAATTGACTTGATACAAAATAACATACATTATCCAATATCACGGAAACATGCGCAACTTAAAAACTAAAAACTTTATTATTAGACTTGAGGGGTGTTGACTTTGCAATATAACGTCAATATTAATAGACAATAAAAGACTAATGATATTAATCGTGTTGGAATGTTCGTGTATTTAATACATGCTAGTGTCGATATTAATTTTGGTTTCCTGACAGTTTTCTAAAAAAGCCGAAAAGTTGTGACAAGTTATCTGCATAGTATGTGAGAGAATAAGGTTTCTGCAACTGATATTGAGGACAAATCATAAAACCTAAAGCTCCAAACACTTATAATTTGTCAATCTAGAGTTAACGGTAGTTCGTTCATTGAAATAAAATTATACTTTCTGATTTTATATTAAATAAATAATTAAACTCATTAATCTATAAATCTATTGCAATAAATTCGTTTAATCATACTGCACTGTTAAGATTGTTTATAATTTAAAAGAAACAAATTGTGATAAGATATAATTTGACCGATAGAGTAGACTAGTCAAGAATACACTTTTTCTATTCTATTCGATAATTTTATTAATTAATATCAAGTTAAATTATTTATTAACAACGTAAAAAAATATAAAATTTCTGTGTTTAACATGCATAAGGAGATAAAGTATTAAAAATATGTATGTTGAAACTTTAGAATGGGTACAAAGAATATTATTTTAGCAGAAAAAAATTCTCATGTGTTAGTCTATGATAAGAGTTAGCAGACAATTAATAACAATACTCTAACAAAGTATATCGCAAGTCTTATCATTTGAAAGTTGAGCAATGCTTCTCGAGATACTTTTGCGAATAACAATAGAGTCTGAGGATATTTAAATAAAAATTATATTCATTTTAGATATTTTTGAATTTACGCTAAAATTGGATATAAATATTACTAACTTACAGTTTAAACAATCTCTTATATCTTACTTAGATTTAAAAATTTTGCACCTAAAAATTATCGTTGCTTGTTTTACTTAATCTATTGTTCAAAAGCAGACTTTTCTTTTTCAGTTACACTGAAAAAAGCTTTTAAAAAAATTATATTAAGCTCTTATTATCATGTGCATTTTTTCATGATTATAATCTGCACCGAGAAAAATAACGGTACTCAAAAATAGAAAATAATTTAAAAAATATTTAAATAACTATACTTTTTTCGGCAACTATTTTTTACTGTCATAGGCGAAAACTATATTTGATTATATTGGTATAGTTGAAACGATTTTTCGCTATTATATTTAATGAGTCGAAGTATGTTTTTTTCTCGTGTAAAATTAAAATTCGAAATAAGAATAAATTAATGAAATTTTCAAACATTATGAAAAGACCGATAAATTTAGTTTTTCTTTCTTTATATAAAATTCTTATCAACATTTTTTTTACACAAAGATTACATATTAATTTATCAGTGTCCTGTTACTTTCTCGCCATTTGGCATGACAATATCCGGAATTGATAAAAAAAATAGAGGATACCAGTGTCCATACTTAGATCGTTTTCGAAATGTTCCTCACGTATAGTTGACTAGTCGAAGTAAGGTAACTGAATTCAAGATGAGGTCGAAAACTGATTATATGATTTATTCTTTAAACGTTTATTGTATATATCGCAATTTTTATTTAAATGATTATTGTATTTATAATCACACATATTTTAGATTATCAATACACGATAGCACTTAATTAGCAAATGAAATAAACATAAAAAAAGATTGATGCAAGTGATAGATTTTTTGTTAATTATAAAAAAACATAAATAACAATGTTGTTAGTTTCCACAGTCGATTTTGTTGGAAAAGTTGCAATTTCAAATGTTGATTTTAAAAAAGCTTTGATAAACAATTGACAATTCATATTTAACAATGTACACGACAATCTCATCGCCTGGAAGTATTTATAGTTGGAATAAGGAAAAATCGATATATCGATCCGGAAAATTACAACCTCGTTAATTCTGCAAAATCTTTTCATACGCGAGAGAGAGCGAGACGAAGTCAATTATCTTGGTTTCTAGTTGCAAAATGCTGAAGCGAATTACAATGTAGTTCAACTAGCTACAAAGCCTAGTGAACTCTGATTTTAGCTGACTTTAAAAATGAAGTTTTAGTTCTATGTAACATGCAATGCTTATTTTTTTAAATCATATAGAATAACAATTTTAAAACAAAACTGTTTGACAGTGGTTTAAAGCACACTGTACAAAACAGATATCAATAACCAACAAAATTCTGTACAACTATTGACAAAGTTGCATTAAAAAAGCATGTCTTTTCGTTTTTGCTTTTATAATAATTGATAAGTTTTTTTGAGTAATACAGACTTCTTGTTCAATAAAACATACTATAACTACGCTTACTACTATATTTTAACAGTATCGTTTTTGGTTTCCTGATGTTAGTAACATTTCTATCGATCACGAGTTTACCAACTAAAAAGCCTTGTTACTAACGACTACATCAATTAATTCATCAATAATGCAAGTAATGAACTACACTAAGTGATATATAATACTTATCACGTAACTTCCTCATTGTATCCTTAGCGCTTTAACCAAAGAAATTCACGATAAAAAAAGGAAACAAAAGCTGAGAAATAAAAATAATATCAATAATAATGCATCACAAAGTAAAAGTCGAAACCAAAGCGATGCACCATTCACTTTGTGCATTCCATTGCAGCCGCGCGCAACGCAAACAAACTAACCTAAACTCCACTTCATGCGCGGCAATAACATACGGGTGAGCATGTTAAACGCGGAAACAAAACAAAAGTTACCTGGATGTTGCCCATCGTTTGGAAAGCAGTGAACACGAGCATCATGCCCCAGCTGAGGATCATAACGTTGAGGAATCCTCTGTCAACATGCATCTTAAGGCAAGGCGAACGAAATGGAATTAATAAAATGGAAAAAAAACTCAGCAAGCCATGAAAACCCAAAGCCGCTGTAGATCCTGTTACGCCTCCTTATAATAAGTAATACTGGCTTGTCAATCAAGATATATATAAACACCGCCGTAAATATCGCACGCGAACGTGTCTATGACGAAGCGCGTACATCGGGCTGACTGTCGGCGCAGACGCTTTGCTTCTGCGAGTATGTATTCTGATCTCTGCGTACTCTCTATCTCTCTCGTAGCCATTACGGAAGGGGAACACCGACTACCTATGCAGTGTGTGTGACGTATGATGAGCGCGTGTTGGTGAGCGAGAGTGTCGGACGCTCTTGTTACCTATCTGCTTGCCCTTTTGTGAAAGTTTCAATCATCCGTCTGTATTCAAAGCGTAAGATCACGACCATTCGCTTGTTAAATAAGGAAATGAACTATTTGTTAGCTTATCTGATCATGTTTTCTTAACATGTCTTTTCTTTTCTACCAACTACACTTTCATAACGTGAATCTATGTTTGCGCAAGTTTTTCAGGTCGTATTAACTTCCTAAAGAGTAACGAGAACTTTTCCACGAGAAGTTTTTAAAATGTCATCGCAGTCAAGGTGTCGTCAATTTTTTACATTCTTGTATTGTGTTCCACTATTGATGTAGATTTTTATCAGGAAATCAATCAACTCTAATCACAATCCGATCACTTGAGATTGCCATTTGTCTCTTCTTCGCACGTAATACTTTCGAGTTACTTTTCAAACAAAAGCTCAAACACATTTCCATTGGATACATGTTTTTCACAGCTTCAAATGCAACGCACAAATATTACTGTTAAACATTATTCAATAAGAAAATATCCATTCTTAACAGTAATTTTTCTTAGGAATTCAAAACAATATTCTCGGATTCTTTCTGAATTAATCCTAACGAAAAACAAGTTTTCGCTGAAATATTTCGTAAGACAGTCCTATAAATTATATAGCTACAATTTCATCATCTGCAGACATGAATCCCAATCAGTCAGTTAGTTTGCACATTGATAATTTTAACATATATTACATTGCGAATATCGATGTTACTCATTGAATAAACTGGCGATACGAAAAAATATTATTCAATATCTTTCCGTCGTTATTTTCCTAGTGTGCTATTAAGAACAATATGTAAAGTACGTAAAAACACAGCTTCTACTGCTTAAGGAAAGTATTACAAATCAGGTAGTATTTAAAATCGAAAGAAATAATAAACTCTTGCACGTGAATATACTCGAAAGACTTAGCAGCATTCGCGTAATTGATGAAATATTTAGACTCTACTAAATATTTTAGTTTATAAAACTGCATACGACTGGCGTATGCTTTGACGTCAATATTACTCTTCTCTTCGAACTATTCTATTACTTAAAAAAGTGATCATTACTGCAAATTATATGACTAATAAGAGATATTTTCTCAATTTTATCTCAAACATGTACGATAAATAAGTATATAAGACTTACGTGAATTTTTCATCTTGTTTTGTAGAAAGTAGCATTGATATTAATTAATCTGGAGTAGACTTGAAAATAGCGATTATGTTATTTACATTTTTAATCAGAACAGTATAATACATGACAGAATTTACTATACGCATTTTATCTACGTATCGCTCTACATATATGATCTACAGTGACTCAGATTCCATATCCCTTGTACTCCCCTGTGTCCTTGGTCATATGATGACTCAAACTGACCTATTTTCAGTTGGGGTACCTTTTTCCTTTCTCCATTACATTTTCTCCCCTAGAATTATATATAAATATAATTTCGTCGTTGACATTTACCACACTAATGTATTGCGCACATCGTAAATGAAATACACGTCGGTCTCAGATGAGTTGTGAAAATTCGTAATGTTTTAGAAATCAAAGCAATTTTTATAATGTTTTAGTGTGATTCACGTATGCATATCGACGTAAATTTTATTTTATGTAACTTTATATGATTCACTATTGAAGCGCGTGTTTTATAATTGTATTTTAAATTGTCCATAAGTGTCATAAAAAAATCAAAGGAAAAGTAGCAGAAAAAATAGTATCCTTTGCAGTTATTACAGAATAGAAAAAGGTATTTGTAACTTTGAAAAGACATTAGTGCAATTTCGAAATGATTTGAAACATAAATCCTCAACATAGTAATTTTAGATTTTTAGAAACAAGCAATTGAAGAACACGTGTAGGATATTCATTGAATTATTTCATTATAAGAAATGTCTTCCACTGTGCAATCGAAAATGCATATCATAATGACATTCCCTTTGGGATGTCTAGATGAACACGTACGTCTAGTGCACGATTCTGCCCTACTTTTTGAAACGTTATTAACCCATTAAAGCCCACGCTAAGACTGGTTGAGATAGCGACAAACAAACTGTGCTATCTTTTGCATAAGTGAAAAATAAAATATACGTATTTTTTTTTATGTTATTTTCAATTGTTTATAACAAATTATTTAAACAAATTACAAAAAAATTCATAATTATCAAAATCTAAATGCGGGAATCGATTCTGGAGGTGAAATCAAGACGAAAACCTATATAACACTCTTTTGTCAGAATTCAATTTGTTAGTGTAACGTAGGAATAAACAATTGCATGTTGGGGAGAAAAAGTGACCATGTCAAGTCCCAAGCAAAATCTATCTGGAATAGCAAAAAATAAACTGTGCTATCCTTTGCATAAGTGAAAAATAAAATATATATATTTTTTCTTATGTCATTTGCAATTGTTTATAACAAACTATTTAAACAAATTATAAAAAAATTTAGAATTTTCAAAATCTGAATGCGGAAATCGATTCTGGGGGTAAAGTTTAGACGAAAACCTATATAACACTTTTCTGTCAGAGGCCAATTAGTTATTGTAATGAAGGAAGAAACATTCGGCCTCCTGAGAGTGTTTCAAAAAATCGTATAAAATGAAGCTAATTATTGTATTTATCCATCAATATTGGCATGAATTATTGTAAATATAATCGGTGGGATTGAATTATTGTTCATTGCCATGTCCTTCTTTATGACTTTTGCAAACAGGCATAGAACATTTCTCACAATACCATTCCGTTCTTGTCCGACATGTTGAAATTCCACATTTCCTAAGACTCCCATGTTTCATCACGTGTTCTTGGGATGAAGTTTCACTCTGTTTCTGTCGTTTGGGGGGACGTTTGGAAGATAACTTGTCAATATAATATTCACAAACTTCTTGAACAATATCTTTGGAACCTTTTCTTTCGTCTGGATGTAACTTATTGTAAATCACTGTAGCGTTTGCTAAGGATGCTTGGATGAGCCGTAATACAAGGCACCATGTCCATTTCTTACTTCGAATTGTAGGCATCAAAGCATTACAGTGTTGATCATGTAGATCGACGCCACCCATGTGTTCATTATACATAGAGAAACAATGAGGAAAAAGAATAGATTTTTTCGATGATTCCTGCCATCTCTGCATTTCAACTTTTGGTTCATTTCCATATTTCGAAGAGAGAATCGATACTGGCTTTGAGTCCATAACTGTAATATAATTCAATTTTGAATTCACTTCATGCATTGAAATAGTGTATCCTCTTTTAGCTTTTTTTGGCATTTCGACTTTCACTTTCACACGATTATGCCGAACAGTTCCTGTCGCCGATAAATCATTTTTTTTCAAATGAATCATAAAATCTGGGTTTGTGAAAAAGTTGTCAAAATAAATATGATACTTTTTCAGTTCTTCTCTCTGTGTTTTTTCTAATAAATTCGAAAGTAACTTTATCACCACTCTAGACCCTAAACCAACGGCAACTAAAGGATTTCGTTCATCGATTCCTGATTTACCAGTGTAAATATCAAGATCATATATATACCCATCAGAAGAACAGACTGCCCATTCTTTTATTCCAAATCTAATGGGTTTATTCCTTATACATTGCTTGATACCAAACCTACCAAAGTATTTTACCATTATCTCATCTATTGATAAATTATAGTCAAAGAAACCAAATTGCATACAATTCTCACGAAACATATCATACAGAGTTCTAACCTTCCAGACTTTATCATTTTGATCAGTTTCTTGAAGTTTATAGAATCGTATGTTCTTTTTTATGGCAACGAAATTATTTCTAGACATAAGTTCCGCAATTACTGGACACTGAAGTATTCGCTTTTTTGACCAGTAATCACGAATACTTTTTCTAGAATTGAAGATAGTAATCATTATAATTGTAATAAATTTTTCTAGATCATCCATACATAAATCAAAATGATTTTCAGAAGTGGCTTCAATGATATGGTTTTTCATTGATTTCGAAAAGAAAACCTCAAACAACTCAAAAGCATTTTTGGATTGCAATGATGAAATAGGTGAAATATTGAAGTTGCTCTCGACATGCGGAGAAATATCATTCAAAGCATCATTTTTCCAACTGTACTTATGATTCGGTTCCAACAATTTCTGAGTACTTGTGTATGTACTTTTAACATGTTCGTAAGAACCTGATGGTAATTCATTTGATAATATATCTTCATTTGGATCACCGTCCGAATCTCCATCTGAACTTTCATATTCATTAGGAATGAATGCTATATCAATATGTTGACCTTCATCACTATCAGAATCTTCAACTAAATTTGGTAGATCGCTAATTCTCCGTCTCGGCATTATCAGTAACGTTACCAATTTAGAACAAAATAAAAACTAAAAGTTTTCCGAAATTATTATTTCAAAGAATAGATCCAATGTATAAATGTTTTCAACCGTTAGCCCGCCACTCAAACGTGATCTCTAACACGGAAGGATTTACGAAATGAAATAAACTTATCCAATTACAGTATAAGATCTCAAAATTTATCAGTAAAAAATACTGATATGATTCCAGATACCATGTGTGAGAATGAAAACACTTATTTGTCAATAGTTTATTTCTACATAAAGATATCAAATTGAACTCTGACAAAAAAGTGTTATATAGGTTTTCATCTCAATTTTATCCCCCGAATCGATTTCCGCATTCAGATTTTGAAAATTATGAATTTTTTTGTAATTTGTTTAAATAATTTGTTATAAACAATTGCAAATGACATAAGAAAAAATATATATATTTTATTTTTCACTTATGCAAAGGATAGCACAGTTTATTTTTTGCTATTCCAGATAGATTTTGCTTGGGACTTGACATGGTCACTTTTTCTCCCCAACATGCAATTGTTTATTCCTACGTTACACTAACAAATTGAATTCTGACAAAAAAGTGTTATATAGGTTTTCGTCTTGATTTCACCTCCAGAATCGATTCCCGCATTTAGATTTTGATAATTATGAATTTTTTTGTAATTTGTTTAAATAATTTGTTATAAACAATTGAAAATAACATAAAAAAAAATACGTATATTTTATTTTTCACTTATGCAAAAGATAGCACAGTTTGTTTGTCGCTATCTCAACCAGTCTTAGCGTGGGCTTTAATGGGTTAAGTCGTTATTAAGTAAGCTCCAAAAATGGATCTCACATACACAGTAGACTATCCCTTTCAACATTTCACTTAAATGTAGTTAAATAAATGTTTTGACAGGAAAAAATCTTGATAAATGATTCATATTAACTTTTACGTTAATTTTCGGTGTAGTCTTAAAACAACAGCGTAGTATCCCGATTAATGTCGTATACCACGATCTCACACGTATTAAAAAAAAGTCGCAGCCCTAAAAGTAGACTCGGCACTGAAAATTTAAAATCATTATGAAATCGTAAGAATGCAGTCTTCAAAACATCATAGCTTAACTATTCACACGTGAACATAGGCTTGTTTAACCATCGGAACGTGAAGGCTGATGTACAAAACAAGTTAATGCATAATGCTCGATGGTCGTTTGCGTGAGCGAGCAAGAGACAGGAAGCAGACAAAAATCGGCAAAAGCCATAAAGCCGCGCGCCGCCGCACTTGGCACTATCGTGATTCAGCAGCTCGGAAATGTCACGGACGCAAGGCAATGAACAAACTCATTTCACTTCGTCCGTGTATACAGCTACACAGTCATTCTTTGTGTATTCCATTCTCTTTCTCTTCACTCGCGTTCTATATAATTATGTCGCGGCTCTTTTTATTGTTCATCGTCCTAGCGCGGCGGCAAAAATTCAGCCGAAAGAGCGCTACATCTCGGGTTTATCGTGCCCTGCAAAACGTATGTGTCTGCGGCGCGTTTACCCATCAAGACAATCACTCAGGAACTCAGGCACTCAGACACTCAGACACCCAGACACGCGGCAGCAGAAAGACAGTAAGCAAATGAAGAATTCGCGTGTTTATTAATAGATGACTGACTGTCGCGAGCGCCTCGCGATATGCACTTGGAGTCTCACAATGAATAAGCTGCAGCGAAATAAACGAAATTTCACATTGTTTTGTTAATGTGCACCGTGAGTGGTGATGGAAAATGGGAATAAGTTGAACGTTAATAAATTCATAAACGATTGATTTGCAATTTACGTTTAGTGGAAGTTGAACATATTTTATAAAACTAGCTCAATTTCTTATTTGCTCGATATAAGGCTAATATACCGGCCGGTTTATATGATCGTAACACAGTAGTTTAAATTGTTATATCGCTACAGAAAAAGCACAAAAATTCAAACAAATTAAACGGCCCTTGAAAAGTTCGACATTGAAACGCACCTCGCGCATAATGACGGTAAAGAAACGGTCAATGTTTACGTAATCAGCAAGTCAATTTGCACAGTGTGTCTACTACGGTCATTTTGCATTCGCACACTCAAAAGAGAAGGCGAATCTGCGATTTCTTTAACACATCTTCCCTCCTCGTCGTGCTTATCTTCGCTCGCCGCACAAATCGTAGGCGCGCTCGTCTGTTGCGCAGGCTCGTATTGTAGAGCGTAGAGAAGGATGAAGGGGGGCAGAGGGACAACTAGGTAACGAGAGGGGGCCGAAGAGTTGGCGATGATGTTACGCAGTGGCGCGTGTGAGATCACCGTGTGCTGCACGGTGTTCGCAGATTTATGACGAGGCTCTATCGTCAAAGCGATACACCTATGACAGAGTGAGAGAGCCGCCCATCGTCGCGGCTCGACGTCGTCGTCGGCGAACAATGTGCCAAGTGCCACGACAGCTAGTGATTGTAGTGTATATACTAGCAATGTTTGTGCCTGAAAACTAAAGTGTTGCATGTGCGCTCTCAAGCGAATTCGTCCTCGAAAAAAGCAAGTCCTATAGTATATAGCAGCCAGTGATTCTCCGTTTGTGTTTTCCGTCGCTCGCACTCAGTCATTCTTGCTTGCGGTCGCGACAAGCGCTATCGGCGACGACACCTTTATTTTTGTACGCTACATAGCGGTTATCGTCGCTGCAAAGTCTGCTGATATTAAGCTTCGAAAAGCCGAAATTGTTTGGTTGTTGAATTGCCTTGTTTTTTATTATTCGCATTTGAGGCTCTATACGCGATCCGGTGACCATGAAGAAACAATTTTTCAGGGTCAAGCAGCTCGCTGATCAAACCTTTTCCAGGTACATCTTTTTTTTTAATACTTTTATTGACTCTCTATTATGTTACGATTAATTTATTGGTTGGATAATAACTTTTCGGATACGCCCTTCTGATAAAATTTTTTTTCCGCGTATCAGATGTTTTTTTTCGTCTACAGTTATTGAATGGAATCGAACGTACCTACAATCTTAATCTTTTATCCATATGAAATTGTATCACTTTTCTTTGTGCAGTAATCTCTGAAGTCATATTACATTATTAAATTTGCTTTAGCTACGTGAATTGAAGAGTAATTTTATTCTCAATCCACTTAACAATGCAAGTGATAATTCTTGTTTTGAAGCAAAATACTAAAGAGAAATTAATATTTATATTTGTTGTTTACACTTACCAACCAATTATGTCTTTTACTATCTTTTAGAGCTGGAAAAACTGAAGTACTGACTGATGATTTGCAAGCAGCGGATAAACATGTTGAACAAATCAGAGCTGCCCTTATGGGTCTTAATAAAAGACTTGGAAAACCCAGCGAATCTAGTATGCAAGATTCAGCTCATAAAGAAAAACGCCTTGTAAGTATTTTGAGAATCCTCATGAAAAAAATATTTTTGATAAAAATTTCTTGTTGCTTTCCAAATTTCAATTAAGATCTTATAATTGAAAACAAGTTTACAAATATCATTCATTATCGTTGGCATCATTATCAATTGTTTGTTTTATGAGTCAACTTTACAGTTACTTTTTTATCAGTGTATTGAGAAATAACTTGACCTAATAGAATTCCTTTTATCCCTATTTATATGTTATTCAGTAAACCATTTTATTATTTATTTAGAAAAAGTCCCCAGAATATGTTTTGGGTCAAACAATGCTTGAAAATGCAGGAGAGGAAGGACTTATGTGTTATACATTAACAGAGTGCGGAAAAGCACAAATAGCTTTGGCTAATGAGGCTGTAGATCATGAAGCAAAAGTTGAACAATATGTATCGGTTCCTCTACAGAATATTTTAGAAACAGATGTTCCAAATATTTTAAAATACAAAAGAAATTTGCAACGTCTGATTTTGGATATGGACAGCACAAGAACACGCTACCAACAAGCAAGTAAACACAATACTGGAGGTGAGTTTAATTTTACAAATGTTAAAAAATATTGTTAAATAGTGAATTGATATGACTATTTCTTTATTACAGGTACAGCAGCAACGAAAGTTGATAGTTTGAGAGATGAATTAGAAGAAGCTGAAACCAAAGTAGAACAATGCCGAGATCTCTTGGCGGCTGAGATGTTTCAGTTGATGTCGAAAGAAACAGAGCTCGCTCAAACAATTATACAGTATGTTAAACTTCAAAGAGCGTATCACGAAAGTGCCTTGCACTGTCTAGAAGATCTCATTCCAGAACTTGAATGTTACATAAGTAAGATTCTCAATAGTTACAGTACTATAAAGCCTTGATACTATGTTTAATATCATTTGTTTATGTATCAGATGATAATGAAACAAAGCCAGTATACGGATATTCTTTAGAAGAGCATCTCAGAGTGACAAACAGGAAAATAGCATTACCCATCCAACTCTGCGTCTGTGCTCTTCTGAGGCTAGGAATGGAAGAGGAAGGGCTTTTTAGAATAGCCAGTGGTGCTTCAAAATTAAGAAGAATGAAGCTTAGCTTTGATGCTTGTTGTATATCTCTCCCAGTTGCCCTTGAATACAAGGATCCTCATGTGATAGCTGGAGCTCTGAAGTCTTACCTTCGAGAGTTATCAGAACCTCTACTGACCTTTAAGTAAGTTTTTAAGATAAATCTATCTTTGGCAAAAGAAAAACAGTACCATTTTTTCTTTCACGAACAAAAGTGATATGAGTTATATCTGTCTCGCGATCCGTCAGTGTAAAGTTTTGAAAAGCCCATAAAGCAAACAGAGCATGGCAAAGAACGTCGTTCTGGATAGAAAAAAAGTAATAACGCTCGAAAAGAAAAAATACATCGAGTGCGTCGTCATTGTAAAACCCAATATGTAAAGTGTCCTTAAAATACATTGACTCGGGGATTTTTGAGAAATTCGTCTGTATTCCTTAAATAGCGTACGCATGCATTTCGCGCTTTGAGTTCGAGTGAGTCAATGACCTAGAAATAGACGACGAGAGTAGAAAGAGAACGCTTAAAGTTATATGTACGCGTGTACGTGGTATATCTTTATCTACTAGTATAGTGGTGCGGTGCACGATGAGTCATGAATCGCAAATGCATTGGCTTTGAAAGGCGCTCACGAAAATTTCGTAGCTTATCTGCCGCGTAAGGATCGTTTTTGCCTCGCGTGACAACGATTACTCATTCATTAAGCAAACAATCGAAAACTTATTTGAGAATGCTACATGCGATAAAAATATATGTATAAACAAATGTTAAAAAGAAAGCTTTATTGGTCCAAGTTTCACAATGATAGTCTTATATAGGGGGCTCGTCATATACGTGGCCAGTCAATGCGTGTCCAATTGATTTGACCTCGACATGACTTGCGCCGATTTGATGCAGCAAAAAAGTACAAGAATAAGAATAAGAGAAAAACGCACTCTCCACTTAGTAGGCATTCGTATGAGACTAGATCGACCATTCTTTCTTTTTCTTGCTAAGTGATTTTTGTCAAGTTATCCCTCAAATTCGTTTCACACTTATTCGATAAACAGCTATTGTTATTTCATTGTTATTTTGATGACCATTCAGATTGTATCCCGAGTGGATGGCAGCCGCAAAACTCGTCAAAAGTGATGACAGACTTCGTGCACTCTGGGAAGTATTGCATAAATTGCCAACGGCAAATTATGAAAATCTAAGGTTCCTAATTAAATTTTTTGCTGTCTTGACGAAAAACCAAGACGTCAATAAAATGACACCACACAACATTGCGATAGTAGTCGCTCCAAATCTCATCTGGAATTCACAGGAGGACATAACGACCGTAGTGTAAGTGTAATCCAATTTTATTTTTATTATCAGCCAAGTGCTATCAACGCACGTAGCCGGTAACAATACAATCGGTTTCCTGCTTAACGTTTCATCTCTGCATCTCTCGAAGAAAAGGAACAACATGTCTCCTTTGAATTAAAGTTTATCTATGAAAATGCGCTCAATCATTTTAAATGTAAATTTAAATCGTACAATGCACGTATGCGTCATCTGTAAATATACAAAGCATTCGTCACCTATAAAATCCAGCTCTTCTTCCTTTCATATTAATTATTCTCCTTGCAATTGTTTTTATGTCCTTCAGAATGGATACAGCAAATAACTCTAGTCTAATCGTCGAACAAATGATCACATACGCCGACTGGTTTTTTCCTGGCGAGATAGATTTTGATCGCGAGCTGGACCTTGGTGGCATCGTCAACGGCTCCGAGCCAACGCCAACTGTGGGTATGCGTCGATGTGTCTCCAACAGCAGTTTAAGTGACCATGGTGAAAGCCCAACTCAAGGAAGTCCTAAGCCGGCGACGCGTCGGAAAAACAAACCAGCTCCTACCCCTCCAAGTGGCAACACACCTGACAAACACATCACGCAAGTTCATCACGAAAATAGAAGACCAGATGATAAACCTCCACCTGCGCCTGATAAGCCACCACGGCCTTTGACTACCTCGACACTTAACAGGGCAACGTACAAGTCGCAGAAGCACGATCAAGTTACAGCGGAACTGATACAGCTACGGAATCAGGACAACGCTGCCAATAGCAAGGCAATGCAGCACTCGAATAAGCTTGCGACTCATGCTGGCAGTAAAGCTGTGGAGAATGACGCGAAGCCCATGGGCTTCGAATTAGTCGATAAGGCTGAACTTATTAAGGTATTGTATTTAAAATCTGCAAAATATTTCCTGTTCACGTCGTTTTTTTATTTATGCAATGTGTAGTTTATTTTAGGTCAAACAACTTAATGCAAAAAATAGAAATTTTAATAAATGTTTTACAGTTCGTAATATATGGTTTTAGTGGTTTTTTAAATTATCATAGGATCAAAATTCTACGGATGCTCTGCAGCTACCTGAAAATTCTCCGACTCACAAAAATGAAAATCAGCCAAGAGATAGCGAAGAAGAGGGGATGAATGCTAATCTGATAGGATTCGAGGCGTTGAATTTAAAGCCGAATTTAGGTACAGGAGACATGACCAAGTCGGTTAACGAATCAATGATAATGATGGACAATACAGACAAGCTAGACTCGCCAAAACTAAAACCGGTTCCTGCGGAAAAACCATCCCAGTCGACTTTAGAAAGGCGGAAGTTTCCTGTCGCTGCACCTCGTAATTTAATTCTCACATCGAATCAACAAGGTTCGGTTATTTTAGTGCGTGTATGTTTATATAATCGAATGAACAACTGCAACATAAATCTAATTATCTCATTTGCTTCTTATAACCTAAATTCTTTCAAGAATAACTTAGAGGTCATTTCAATTAAGTGACACCATCAAAAATCGGTTAAAGATATAACATTAAGTTAAGCTTTTTATATGATTATAGATGACGTCGTAGAAATGCGACGAAAACCAGAAGGAACCTGCGTTACCTCTATAGATAGAAATAGTAAACCTGCTATTCCAGAACGTCCAGCTGGACTTGCTCGGCCTTCAAGTTTGATAAGGCCACACCCTCGACACAGTAACGAAAATTTGGATGCCGATTCAGGGGTACGTAAATTTAAACATCAAGAGTCGATATAAAAATTTGATATATTTTTTTTTATTAAACTATGAAAATTGTACGTTGAATAAATCTTTGTTGCGTTAAAGGCTTCATTACAGTGATAAGGCTAACAGTATTTTTATTCAGAATTACTCTAACAATTTATTTGCATTTATTTTGTTGCAATTTACTTGATTGACCACAAAATATTAAAATTAAATGGATGAAAATCATAATAGAAGTAGTGAAAAGCACCGATAATTTTTCACGGCTTCGATTAGTTCATTTATTTATTGATAATATATTTTGTAAATTGAAAATTTTATATGTTACGATTAAGTTTGTATATTATTTATGTACAATTATAAATAATTAGAAAAGATGTTATAGTATACTACATACTAAAACTATTTTTTATGGTTTAACAATAAAAAATCTGTTCAAAGAAACATACTTTATACTTTTAATTATCACTATGGCGCAATTTGCTCGTAAATAGGTATGTGGATGTGAAAACGTACTTTTATCAACATGATAATGATTTTTTTTCATTGATTTTTACATTTCAATAAACAATTCTGTTTGAATTTTATCATACTTTAATAACTTTATTCATAAAATTGCACTTATAAGCAAAACTGATTTATGCTTTCTTAAGTAATTCTATTTTGTCTCAAAAATTCTCTCGCAACATTCACGTACGTTTATTTATTATTACATTGCCATTATTACATTGCCATTGAAATATTCAAACATGATTTTGTAAAGCCGTAACAATAATCCTTATTCGACATCATAAACTCATCCGACATTTCATATCCCCACAGCCCTTGACCCTGGAGCGAATCCATATGTATTCGGTAGACAAACAGCAGGTTAGTATAATACAACTAACCGGTGCTGTTTCGGAGAGCAATGGCACAATCAACTTGCAGAGAAGCCCGAGCGTCGGCAGTCGTCCAGTGTCGATGTCACTGTCACATGGCAGTATGACGATGCAGCCTCCAGAGAAACCTCCACGACCGGAGCATTTACCAGATCCGATTAAGTCACATTCGAGAACGAGGTCCGAGGGCAACATCATCGATGTACAGACGCAAACGAACACCGTTATTGTACCTAAGTCTCAACAGCAGCAAGTGCCACCTGCCTCGCCAAGGTTCCATCAGCGACCACCAAGGCCTCAGCCGCCACCACCACCACCACCTACTGGTGCTAAGCCCAAATCAGATCACGAGAGTACTAATCTTTAGCAGTAAGAGTTTTGAAAGAAGCATTAATGTTCAGTGATTAAGGGTAGAATTTGTTGTATCTGAAAACATTCCTTTTGTTAATTCAATGATAATTTTAAACGATAGATTCGAACGCATCATTGCGAATGCTTTAGATTCGTAGTTTTTATTTCGGAATAAATGTACTTTAACTGAAAAATATTATAAAATACCATTTTAAAAACTCGATCATATCATAATCATAATTATCTTAATCATATCGACATATTCTACCCGTAATTAAAACATTTCTATTTATAAAAGTCAAAAATAAATGTGTCTTGATATATTGAAAAGAGCTTAAGAATCAACAATGTCAGTAAAGCTATCTCTGGTATAGGAATTTAAAAAAGAAAAAAGTGGCTTTAAAGTGGCCTATGAAAGAAAATTATTTTAATTCAGCGCAATATTGCGTGTTATGAAAAAAGTCGAAAAAATCTATAACCGAAGCTTTAGTAGTGAACGAGGTAATAAGAAAAGTTCAACGTTAATTATGTAAGAACAGTGATGATTCGCCTAATTCCATTAAATTTGAAAAAGAACATTTTAATAAATATCAAGTATTTTTGCAGCGTAGTTTTTATACTGTTTATCCAACTAATCACGTCGTAGCGCGATTGCGAATTTTCACGATGATTTTTGAAAATTCAGTGAGAAAAACCAAGTGAAATGTTGAAAAGAAAACTGTCGATTCCGCCCTTCGATTTTTTATTCTGACGTTACATCTCCAAATGCACAAACCTAAACTATGCTCACATTTAATATTAGTTTAATTGTTGAATCAGAGTTATATTTGCAGACAGGAATTGCTAAGAAGGTCTGACATTTGTCCATTATTCCGACATGACATGTCTTTTAAAGAATCAACGAGTATCGTTTAATCTTTTTTCGATTTTTTATTATTATTTTTATTATAAATATATTCTTGCTAATACTATTTTTTCATTTCACGGTTAACGTGAATATGAGATTTCAGTCAGTTTAATTCTTATGGCATACCATGTATATACGTAAGTTTTTATGCAATCAGAAGATACGATATATGCGATTTTCGCGTGATCAAACTCCAATTGTATAAGGCCTTTTATTTCAGCATTTGGAATTTTTAAATATATACTATTATGTGTTGTCCATTATAAATATTAAAATATGTTGAGTTGTAAAGAAAAAATGTTTGATAAAAATGAATTTTGTTTGTCTTTCAGAAAAAGCACACAATACGTTTTTTCTGAGAAATTACTTATATTCCACGACTTTTTAAATATAAAAATTATCACAATATTAATATTGTTAAAAAATTTTTATTTACAAAACTCGACAAAATATAATTGATATTAGAAAAAAGCCAAGTTGTTATTGGTGTGATTAGTGTATGTATTATTATAATTGGTACGTTTGACATACATTTACCTAAGAAAATCTTAGGCTGTGAATACATTGGAGTATTAAAGTATGTATTTGTAAATATAAAAAAAACCTTCAAGTAATGTTTTTTTTATTTATTTAGATAGAAAAACCATTTACCAATTAGTTACTCATAAAATTCATTATAACAAAAATATCGAATTTCATTTTGGATACTTTAGAAATAATTGTTTTTTTTTACTTTCTTTATTGTCACTCTATTTATGCTCCATCAGTGCTAATCAGCGATGGAGGCTTGCAATGTGTTTGATAACAAAGCACATGAAACTTTTTATAAATGTATTAGACCCCGGTCCCATAGCTACGTATAAATGCGGACGGATACGGACGCGAATCGCAACTCTAGTAACATCACTAAAAATATCTAGTTCGATTATTTAGTACCAACACTACCGGTAGTGAGTAAAAGTAACTGTTGTTTAAAACTGTAGCGCCGAACGTATCACATTTAATGAACGCTTATCTAACCTTTACATTATTGCAGTCTATAAGATGGCAAATGATAGAGAATTGATAGACTTTCAACTACAATTAGTGGAATTAGGCCTTAATTTTATGGAAGTACTTGAATATATGAGAAGAAGAAAATATATATAAATTATATGTATTAATCATCCCAAAAGCTTTTTTTACATTAGCATACTCATCAATAAGCAATATTCATGAGAATTTGAAAAGTAAATTGTAGACCTGACATTTGAACATTAAATGTGGTATGTTCGGCGCTACAGATTTAAACAACAGGTACTTTTGCTTACTACCGGTAGTGTTGGTACTAAATAATCGAACTAGATATTTTTAGTGATGTTACTAGAGTTGCGATTCGCGTCCGTATCCGTCCGCATCCGTACGTACCTATGGGACCGGGGCCTTAGAATCGAACCTGGGCCTACTGGGTATGAGTCCGTCGCCCTACCGACCGAGCCATTGCAGGCCCCTGTTTTGAAAATAATTTCGAATTTCACAAAATTAATTCAACTAACAAACTTTGTCAACAAAGATCTTTTATTATTAACAATTTTTTATACAGGCTTGTTTTATACATAAAAAAGTTATTGATGTATTGTTTGGAATAGAGGTAAAAGACTTGTGTCTGCAACATCTCTCGGTGTCAAACCACTATCATCTTTAACAAATTTTGCATTCATCGTCAAGAGATATTTCACTATTTCTTTGTGTCCACAAGAAGCAGCATAGTGCAGAGGAGTTTGGTTTTCCATGTCAGCAGCATTAATATCTGATCCAACTTCAACAAGATATTTGAAAATCTCAACATCACCTCTATCTGCAGCCCAATGTATTAGCAACATACCATTGTCATCTTTTGAGTTTACATCTTTTGGATTGCGAGACAAAAACAATCGTACCTTTTCTTCATTGCCATCTTTTACCCAATCAAAAACTGTCTTGTCAATATCTTTCAGTTCTGTATCTGTGTTTGGTAACCTGCTTACAACTACCCAAGCTTTAGATTCTAACCTGCTGTCCTTTTCCCAGTTTGAATCCAGTTTTCCAACAGCTCTGATATAACTTCCCATTGCTACTTCTTTGCTCATGTCTCCCAAACTTTTCCAAGCTTCCCATTTGTGCTTTGCTTGCATCTGATACCAACTAGGTGCTGGTGTATCACATGGACCACAAGTGGCTTGTTTATAGAGGCCATAAAAGCCCAACAATTGACCTGTGTCTAATTTTGATACCAACATCTGTAAATGACTTGCAGCTTTGTTGAATGTTTCTTCGAGATCAGAAATTTCAAAATCCAAACTTTTAGCCATTGTTATCTAAGTTTATTTCTATTACAACTACAATAAAGAAATGTGATTTATTCTTTCTTTCCAGTTTTTAGAGTCAATAAAAGTTTTCTTCCCTCCAGAGTGTGATCAGCTTTTAATGCAGCATTCAGTGAGTCATTTTGCTCAAATGTCACAAAACCATAACCTTTACTTAAACCCGTATCTTTATCAAATACTACAGAAGTTTTGACAATGTTCCCAAATTTAGTAAAATGCTTTTTGAGTTCGTTTTGTCCTGTAGTCCAGTTGAGGTTTGCTACAAAAAGGGTAGCATTTTTAACAACTTTTGGATTCAGAACTTTTGAAGCCATATCAAGTTTCAAGCTCTTTTGATTTCCAGTAGATGTATCGTATGATCTTGCATCAACTCTTGAACATCAAGTCCGGAATCTGCACCTAGATTGTTAAGTGGTACATGTGTGCAAGTCAAACCCCACTTGTTTAATAAATGTTCAATTGACCAGTCAGCACTACGTTCTTGATAAGTACAAAGAAACCTAGCTGCTGGATTTCTTTCCAAAAGAAAGGCAACAGTAACTACAATATCCTCAAAAACGGAAGGATCATAAAAACAGTCTGAACCTAAAATCAAATCTAAAGATCCAAGTGAAAATAAGCTTGACAAGAAGAATCCCCAAGTTATACCAACAACTTTCACTTGTGAAACTACTCCATTCAATTCACAGCTTCGTTTAAGATGTTGTAAACTTTTTGGCAAAGTTGCAGAATCACTAAGTATAACAGAGGCACCACATTTACATGCAACTATACCAGGAAGTGCTGTCCCTAAAAAAAAATTTTCTTTTAACATTTTATTCTTATCATTATTCTCATAATAATATGTAATGTTAAAAAATAAATAAAAGTTCTGAAGACATGATAATTAATGTGCATACCTGATCCTAGCTCAAGAACTCGTTTTCCTGTAAGTTCTTTCCTATGTTCCCATAAATACCAAGCTAAAACTGGTGCTGAGGGCCAAGTATAAAAACTGTAGCTAGCTTGCAACAACTGGAACAAAATAAAACGTTGAATATACATTAGAAATTTCATCCTTCTGCAATATCAGGAAACACATGATAAGTTTAAAAAAACAATATTCTTAAATAAATTAAATGCTCATACACGTGCTACGATTAAAGTGCTTTTAATCCTCGGCTGTAGTATGCTATATAAGAGTAGGATCTAACCTAACATTTTGCGTAAGACTAGAAGTAGATAGATTTTGAAAAGAGCGGCAGTTTCTTTTGCTTTGGAAAAGTGTTAAGTAGGAGAAACAAGTCGCAATTTACCTCAGGAATGTAAACTTCTAAACTGTCGTCTTCGTCGTCGTCGTCGGAAGAACTTTTTGTAGATGCTTTGCCTGACGTGAAAAAGAACTTTTTCACTTGTTCGGAGGCGACACCATCGGACATTAGGCCGTACGCGGATGGACTCGTGTGGAAGCCAAAGCTATGCTCCAATCCCGGCATATCACACTCTATCACATGAGTGAACTGCGCACACGCACTACAAATCAATTATAATCAATTTCTCTTTTAAAATTCATTCAATTTTTATTATTATATATCACTAATAATTTACAATATTGCTCTAACTGTATACACATTTCGAACGTAGAAATATCCAAATAAATGAGTCTTAGCGACCTTGAAACTGCTGACTATGCGAAATTAAAATTCTCGAAATCTAGAATGCTAGAAGAGAATACGAGCTCGCGACGTTGCCATTTTCAGTTCACACAGTTCGCATGAGCGGGAAACCTAACACCTGTATAATTTTAATTTTTGAAAGGAACTTTTTAGTCGAATAAAGTTTTCAATAATCCCGTTCGTAGCAAAAAAGTACAAGAAGCAATAAATAATTTATTTTAAGAAGAACATTATAATTACAATTATTACATTCGTTATTTAATTAAAGAGTGACAATTAACGTAATAAATTTAAAAGTTTGTATTTTAAAAGATGCGTATAATAGATATAATTATGCAATAGTATAACATTTCATAAATTTGTTGTTAGCTCTGAATTTCTATACCGGAATCACATATAATCACATAATAAGAAAGTTAAAATTAACGCTATCGAGAAAATTTCTTTAAATTATACATTTTTTAATAAACTTTGTTTCGACTCGCGTAGTTACGCGCGTCCGCTAGTCTTGACCATATATATTCTGGGACCTGGGCTGGGATGGGCCGAAGGAACGATCTGGTTTTGTTTTGGCCGTGGAGACTATTAATCTCCATGGTTTTGACCCATGAATATGTTTTGATAACTGCCTGACGTTCACGCTTTTTGATCACACCACGTGGTCAGATCAGCTGTATCGGATGGGCGAATGTGATATAAACGAAACTAAAAATTACGCGCTCAAAATTTATTATTTTTATAAATTAATATTATATTTATTGATATGGATCATTTAAGTACTCAGTTAATGAAAGAGATAGTGTTAGAACCAAGAGAAGGTCTGAAACCAAATTCGTAAGTTTTTAATCGTGTCCAACACTATTATTAACTAATTTTTAGGTTATATAAATCAACTACATTTTTTTTCTTATTGACAAAAGAATGATCGATTTGGCTTTAAACAATAAATTGATAAGTTTCAGATACTTGAGTTTAATCTGATATAAATTTCGGTTAACATTGCTTCCTAAAATATTAATATTTTTCATTGGTATTTGTAATTTTTAATCACATGTATTTTAGAATATAAAAGTATCAAATGAAAGATCATATTTTTTAGGTTAAATAAGAAAAATACACATTCAATTTCAAAAAATGCAAACTCTAAAAGTAATAATGATTATACACAAACAAAAACAAATACAGCATCGACAATGCCTAAAGAGGTTGCATCACCTATGAATTCTGTGAAAAGGAGTTTAAAAATTGAGATGCAAACTCTGATTTTGTCTGAGTACTCAGAAAAGCAGCTTTACGATACATTAAAACAAATTTATGGCTCAGTATGTATATTTACGATCAATAAAATTACATTTTTTACAATTGTATCTTAATTATTGACTTATTTACATTCTTATTTTAGAGTTTTAAATTGGCTGAGACTTTTGATTTTGAAAACAAAAATAGTAATTTAGGAAGACAATTTTGGCTTCAAAGAGGTAATTTAATTATAAAGAGTGTTATGGACTATTCCTCCAAAGATACAAATCCCAAAACTCATCATGAGATAACAAGACAATTCGCTGTTTCAAAATTAGAAACATATAAGTTTGTATTTTTCTAACAGTTATTTTTATTATTGTAATATATAAAATACTTACATGATTAATGATCATGTTATGTTTCTGACAGCTTCAATCTTTCTCATTGTATAGAAGCTTTAACTCATACAGATGGAGATATGGGAAAAGCTTTAGAACTATTGTTTTCTAAATACTATAAAATTGATAGTTTATCAAAAAACGAAAATTTAGATTCAGTAGATATGTCAGATTTGATAGAAAGAAGACAAGAAGAAAAAGAAGCTTTGCAAAGTATTTATGAAGATACCTTTACAGAAAAAATTAAAAACCAAATTTGGACTTTTGATATGAAACTGAACTATTTAATTCAAACTAATGATGATGAAGTGATAAAAAATAAACCTAAAGTGCTCTTAAAAGATATTTGTAGACTTTATCTGGCTGGAAAATGTAAATTTGGTATAAAATGTAGATTTGTTCATCAACAACCTGAGCCAGAAGAGAAACCAAGACCAAAAAAAGATGCTCATTTTACTTTAGAAATCAGGTTTCCAGACAGTAAGATAATTTTTCATATTTAATCTTCCTAAAATGTATTGTAATTTGTAACAAATACAGTAACACTATTTTTACAGATTCTAAATATCCATATGAACCGCCATATTTTTTCTTCTATAAACCAGATGGATTGTATCCTCCATTAAATTGCTTAAGGATAGTCAGGCTATTATATAATGAAGCTTTAACTCACTGTAAAGCTGGCATTCCATGCATTTTCACAATCGTTTCTCTTCTAGAAAATGAAAATTATATCAAATCGTATTTAGAAGAAAATAAAGAATTTTTCTTAGATCCTAATGATTCATTGTTTCCCAAATTATCAAAAATTTCGAACGATGGACCTTCTCGTTACAAAAAAGGCTCATCGAATAAAAAGATCAGAGATGAAATCACAATGGAAGATATTTTCAAGCAAGATATTGAAATTAAAAATAAGTTTATGAAAAAACAAAGAAGTCCTCAATACTTAAAAATGAAAGAAGCTAGAAAAAATCTACCAGCATGGAGTAAAATGAATGAAGTTTTGGAAAAAATTCATGAAAATCAAATTGTTATTGTTTCTGGTGAAACTGGTTGTGGTAAAAGTACACAGGTGAATTTGTATTTTTGTTTCTTTTTAAGTATTGAAAAATAAAATATATCTTTATATTATTCATATGCAGGTGCCTCAGTTCATTCTTGACGACTGGCTAATCAACATGTCAGAAGAAAGCAAGCAGCATGTAGAAATAGTATGTACAGAACCTCGTAGGATAAGTGCAATCGCAGTAGCAGAAAGAGTGGCAGCTGAAAGAGATGAACGTGTAGGAAACACTGTCGGATATCAAATAAGATTGGAAAGTAAAGTATCCAATAATACAAGATTAACATTTTGTACCACAGGAATTTTATTGCAAAGGCTAACAAGTGATCCCATTTTAAAATCTGTTACACATGTTATTGTTGATGAAATTCATGAAAGAAGTGCAGAAAGGTAAATTAGTTTTTTGTAATGTCTATTATTAATATATTTTAAATATATAAATATTTTTAGTGACTTATTACTGATGTTATTGAAGAAAATACTTTCAGAGAGGTCTAATTTGAAAATTATTCTCATGAGTGCCACATTAAAAGCTGATATTTTCTCGACTTACTTTGGGAAAACACCTATTATTAATATTCCAGGGAGAACTTATCCAGTTACACAATTATTTTTAGAAGATATTCTGGAAGAATCAAAATATGTTGTTGAGGAAAATTCAAAATATTCAAGAAACAAAGGTAGTTGGGAGCAATTATACACAGATGCATTAATGGCTCATCAGAGAAATTCATGGGAAGTATTGCCAAAAAATACAATTCTAGATGAAAATCTTACAGTGGCACAAATTATTAGGAGATATTCAGGATATTCAAATTTGACTCACCAAAATTTATACGTTATGAACCATGAAGCAATAAACTATGATTTAATTGAACATATTTTAGAATGGCTTAATTATGGTAATCACGATTATCCGAAACATGGTACAATATTGGTAAAAATTAATTAACTTTATCTTTAATTTTAAATTGTACCCTTTACAATCAAATAACAATCGTCATGCGTTTATAGGTCTTTCTGCCAGGTATCACTGAAATTATGACGTTGAAAAATATTTTATGTAATAGTTCACTGTTTTCACCTGAAAAAGGAAAATTTGTTATAATACCTTTGCATTCTACTTTGACGAGTGAGGAGCAAAGTTCAGTGTTCAAACGGCCAGAACATGGCGTAAGGAAAATAGTACTCAGTACAAATATTGCCGAAACTTCAATAACGATAGACGATTGTGTTATTGTTATCGATACCGGAAAGATGAAAGAGACGAGATTCGATTCGAATAAGAATATGGAAAGCCTTGAGTTATGCTGGGTATCTCGAGCAAATGCCCTTCAAAGGATGGGTCGATCAGGTCGTGTTGGGCCTGGTGTTTGTATACATCTTTACACGTCACACAGGTATTAAAATCAGTTATTCTGAAATAAAAATAAATCTAGATTCTATATTTAAAATCACGTTTCAGATTCAAATACAATTTTTTGGCTCATCCGATTTCTGAAATTCAAAGGATATCTTTAGAACCTCTGCTTCTTAGAATTAAAATTTTAAATAAGGATCATAATGTTGATTTACATAAAGCTCTTGGTAGTTATACTTATTGAAATAATATTTTATTTTGTATCTATGACTATTTTAAAAACTTTACTTTCAGGACAATTGATAGAGTCTCCAGCTGACGATAGTATAAGCACAGCTATTAAGAGATTACAAAACGTCGGTGCTTTCGACCCAGAAGGCATGCTGACGCCTCTTGGACATCATTTAGCAGCTCTACCTGTTGATGTTAGAATAGGCAAGCTGATATTATTTGGAGCTATTTTTTGTTGCGTTGATTCAGCTTTGACAATTGCAGCTTGTCTTTCTCACAAAAGTCCTTTTGTAACACCTTTTGATAAAAGGAATGAAGTTGATATTAAGAAGAAAGAATTTTCTGTTGCACATTCGGATCAACTGACAACTTTGAAAGCTTATAAGGTAAATTATAAAAATAACTTTTATTAATTCTTATTAATAAATAATCTCGTATGAAATTAAGAAATCGTACTATTTTTAGAAATATATGGAAGTTAGTGCTCGGGGTTATCACGCAGGACAAGCTTTTGCAAATGAAAACTTTTTGTCTATTAAAACTCTTCAAACTATAGCAGATATCAAGCATCAGTTTTTGGAACTATTAGTTTCCATCGGTTTTGTTCCTATCGACCTTAAAAAACGATCTACAGGTCAAGATAAAATTCTTGAAATAACTGGACAAGAATTAAACGCTAACAATGAAAACTATAATCTTTTACAAGGTTTACTTTGTGCAGCACTGTATCCTAATATAGTTAGAGTATTTACTCCAGAAAAATCGTTTGTAAAGATGACTACCGGTGCCATTGCTCGGCAACCTAAACCCGAAGAATTGCGATTTCAAACACAAGATAATAGATATGTCAACATCCACCCATCTTCAATCAATTCTAGTGTTGGTTACTACAGTAGTCCTTATTTGGTCTTCCAAGAAAAAATAAAAACTAGTAGGACTTTTATAAGAGAAGTGACAATGGTACCTATTCTATCTTTGGCTTTATTTTCTGGTTATGGAATAGATATTGAGCTACATAACGGCACTTTCATACTATCGTTGGGCGATGGATGGATCACCATTGCTGTTGAATCTCATAGAGTAAAATTACTTTTAATCATTAATTTGTGTTTCTTTTTCATTACGATTATTTTCATTTTTACTATTTCATTTCAGACTGGCCAATTATTGCAATATGCTAGAATAGAACTTGAAAAACTGTTGCTACAAAAGATGGAGGATCCTCTTTTGAATATTGTAAATCATGCAAATGGACGAAAAATTATAACAACAATAGTAAATATTATTACGAGAGGCTAGATTTTGAAAGACTTAAATTTTTGAATTTATGTAGATTAATTTATTATTTTTGTCTTAATAGAAAAATATATTTGTATTGTTAGTAACATTGTTTATACGAGATTTCATCTAAGATCTTATATATAACGTTGAATACTGTATAACGACTAATGTTTTTTATTTGAGAAATTAACAAATAATTATGTGAGATTAAAGGTATTGTATTTTTAATGTCATATAGATTTTAATATGTCTTGCAGAAAGTGGTCGTTCAAATTAAATAAATATTTAACATTGTCTGTAAATTTAAAAACAAAAAATTAAAGAGCATATTTTCATAATAAATCTGTCAATTGTTTGTAAATTCCCTTCCTTGGATTATAATAAAGCAGACAACATGTATATACATGTTATAACCCAAACATAACCTTATCTTTCTATTTGGCAGATTCGTAGAAACATAACCTGTAATATGTTTTGAAGCGTGATAGTGTCAAAATATCTAAATATTAAATCATTTTATTAATGGCAATAAAATTTAGTAGTCATTGATATAGATTTCAATTATTACTATTGTGCATAATCAATATATATTAGTTGATGATAGTTTACTGTTATTTGAAATCAAAACAAAACAAGTATTTTTATCTTGAAATTATCAAATTACCAACAATGTCAGTAGTAAATTTGATAATAACCCGTGGTATTTCTACTACGTGTAGTCGATTAGGAAAGCGTAATTTTCGTAAATTTGAACTGATCAACAAACGTGGTACCAAAATATTCAAAAAGCAGCAGATGGAAAACCCTTCACCTGATTACCCTATTGACAGTAAGTTTATTGTTTATGTATATTGTATTTTGCTTATCCATTACAATCCCTATTGAAGAATTTGCTGCTTTCACATGTATTCTAATAATTATTATGTTAATTGTTTTCAGAGCGTGGAGTTAGAGATACTGGGCTTAAGCAAGATGGCAAATTTATTGAATTGACTGAAATGATACCAGAATTAATTGTTCCAAATTTAGAAGGCTTTAAACTGAAAGCCTATGTTTCTTATAGATCCACAGATGTTTTTCAATCTGAATTTACAGCAAAAGATTTATTTGATGCTGTTTATGCACAAAAGATTGTTAATGATTTTAAAAAGAAACAGTTGAAACCTGATGGGGAATCAATGAATCCAAGTCCTGAAGAAAAACTCACTTCAAATAAAGCCAGACAAGAAGCAAGTAAACCTGGAAACGACATATTCACAGCACCTCCAAAACCCCTAGGGCATCTGTTTCCCGTGACTCCAAGATAATTTTATTTCATGTATACACTAACACAGGCAAGCCATTGATTGTGCACAATTATTGTGCACACCAATATGGCATGAATCAGCTCTTGCACTATGTTATAGTTTATGTGCAGAATAATTATGTGCGTAATCAATGGCTTGCTCGCATATAAACACTTACAGCATTTTATAGTTTTGATTCTAGTGCTTAGGAAAAACTGTATAAGTTTTATTATAAAATTATTAATTGTCAATAAAAGAGTGTTATTAAAAGTTACTTCATTTAGTTATACTTCATTTCAAGACCTCTTAATACTTTACAAAAAATTTGTCTTTTTTATGGTTTTATGTAATACATGATATGGTTAAAAAAAGAATTCTAAACATTATAGAGATTTTTAATTTTTTTATGATTAATTATATATAATACATTCATGATGAAGTACAATCTTTGAAACAAAACTAAGTTATCTAAGATAATAGCTTTATTTGATGTTATTAACAATCACATTGAAATTTTTAAAATATTTAAAATAATTTCGAAATATATTTTATAATTTTTCTCTTAGAAGGTTCAAATCGCCGTCTATTGTATCTCCAAAAAGTTAGCACACATAAATATCATTCATTTTTTCTGTGTAATTGTTTACTTTTTTTTATCTAATAGATATTCTCATTATCGCCTGATAAAGATAAAATGAAAGTTAGATCGATTAATGAACTGAACATTGAAACAGTGCTCGGCCATACACCATTGCTTTTAATGAACTAAATACGAAAACTTGAATAGTATCAGTAAAGAATAGGTGCTGATTAGTAGCTGTTACTTATCGTGGTTCAAAATTGTATTTCTTGTAGTATAACTGTAGTGCACATCCAAAAATTTCATCAGTTGCCGGCGTTAACTATCAGATTTGTTATGGAGAAGACGATTATTGACAAAAAAGTTAACGAATCTGAAATCGAGCCACTATCGAACGGTAAAGGTACGTAAAATTGTTAATGTTGGTCATTACACTTACTTCGCTCATTAATTTAACGCAATAACATCTTCCAATTTTATTATTATTCCGCTTGGCTCAATGTAATTCGTATAAATGTTATTTTCAAAGGTTCTTTATTGTTATACGCCAACATACCGTGAGTAAATCTTTAAATTTGCCGTCTTAACATAATATCTCGAATCTACTACTCAATATAACAGCAATCTTGTTTATTCCTTAGGAAAAATGAGTCGCGCAAGAAGTATTTCATATCAGATACGAGACGAGCATTGTCTCAATACTGTGCAAGCGGGGCTTTGAGTTTATTGATGATATCTTTCGGCACGAATTTCGGTTTTTCAGCAATACTCATCGCCGAGCTTCAAAGCAGACGCGAGAAAGATGAAAATGTCGTTTCGCTAAGTCAGTTAACATGGCTGAGCAGGTATACCGTCAGCCTAAAATTTCTCAAAAACAAATATCTCATATTTACCACTCGTATTCGTTCTGATTTCCAGTCTCAACTACTTTGCAATCGTATTCGGAGCTTTATTTAGCGGTTTATTATCCCAATGGATCGGGCGTCGTAACAGTTTGCTTGTGTCGACTTTTCCATTCATGACATCGTGGATAATATTATACATGTGCGGACCAAACCAGCTTTGGCCAATATTCTTGGGGTTATTTGTACTCGGCATCAGTGGTGGTATAATCGAATCGCCACTTCAGATCTACGTAACGGAGATCAGTGAACCAAGACTTCGAAGCTCGATGTGCGCTTCTCTGGGTGTCACCATAATGATCGGTATTTTTGTAGAAATGCTGCTTGGTAAATATCTAGATTGGCAGACACTTGCTCTTGCCAACATTATCTTTCCAATACTGGCCTTGATGTCACTGTTTTTCATGCCAGAAAGTCCCTATTGGCTTGCAAGTATGAATCTCGCTAGTTAACCAATATCAAGCATACACGAACAGGTATAACGTGTATCATCCTCATTCGCAGGCAAAGGTCGTTACGAAGATTCTCTAAAAGCTTTAGCTTGGTTACGAGGTTGGAGTCCTGTCAGCCAATTACCCCAACACGAGTTTCAAGACATCGTCTCAACTGCATCGAAGAAAACCGACAAAGCGCTCTCGATCAAACGTTACTTCAAACGATCGACAGTGTCATCATTCGCACTGGTGAGCTTCACCTTTCTGGTGAGCTGTTTCAACGGCAGTATATCCTTAGGAACGTGGACCATACAGGTGTTCAAGGAAGTCAATTCACCCATTGAAGCTCACACTGCTGCTGTCATTCAGTCTGCCGTTCAACTTGCCGCAACTGTCGTAATGACTTTCATGTTCCCGTACATCGGCAAGAGGAAACCTACATTGTTCTCACTCGCTACCGCTGGTCTTGCACTTTTCGTTGTTGCTATTTACACGTATGGCGCACAGGTGTGTAATATAGAAACTCTATTGACGATTTTTTTTTACGATTTTAAGAGAAAAATGTACTTTTGTTTTCGTACGCAGTCGAGTACGGAGCCCAGTTGGACACCAACGATCGGAATACTGATGGCAATTGGCTTTTCATTTTTGGGCATTAAGCACGTGCCATGGATTTTAGCGGGTGAGCTATTCTCTGGTGACGTGAGGTCTCAAATGGCTGGTTTTCTCGCGGGTAATTGCCAAATTTACTCGGCTATGGCTAACAAATCTTTCGTTTATATGGAACAATTATTTACGTTGCCTGGTGTATTCCTATTTTTCGCTTTTGTCAATTTCGTTGGATTGGTTGTGTTGTACTATATTATGCCCGAGACTGAGGGTAAAAGTCTTGCTGAGATCGAACGACATTCTATTGATCGTAAAGCTAGAAGGAAAAAATTGGTAGCTCAGATGTCTACGCGAGAACCCTGAATTGACTGAGCAATACAATCGCAAATTAGATAGAAATTAAGAATTACGCTATTGAACATCAACATGTTGACGCAGAGTAGGATGCACGAAAGAAAGTCATTAGATTTTAGAAGGTGATTGACAAAGGTCGATTGAAATATAATAATCGATATAGTTAAAGAAGTAGAAATAGCAATTGAGCAAGAGACTGATATTATTTCGAGACTGTTAAGTTGCGATCAAGAAAACCAATAATAGTATCATTTCTATGTTTTAATGACTTACTTAAAATCGACGTTTCAAAGCATAAGATTATATTATTATCTTATGTACTTTCGCTGCACAAGATATAAAATTTTATGCTTCTATATTCATTTAAAAAGAAGGTAAATTTTTCTAGTTATTTTTCTAGTTATCTGCAAGAAATTAAAAATTTAAGTGGTATTTAAATATATTTTCACTTTAAATTATTTTCTTATTTCGAAATACCAACAGTTTGAAGATTCATATTGTGACAGGAAAATCATAATAGTATAAAAAGAAAGAAAAATGCCATTCGTATAGTCTGCATATATTTTTATTCAATACATTTTATATCCAGTTGAGTTATATTTTTTGTTGACGATTCTCTATATAACTTTATTACGTAGCAATAAACTTTTTGCCTTCGCAGCAATATTAAACCGAGGGCTAGAAAAATTGTACAAACAACTTCGCCGTGTGCGATCACATAATTTATGGATATGGATCGATTTCATTGCGCCGTGCTTGTCTCTTTTCTAAAACAAAAAGAATGACCTGCAACTATTGACTATAGCGTTTTTTTTCTTGCCTTGATGCAGTAATAATGAATTTTCTGTCTTATCACATTCATATGATGATACATTTTAATTATAATAATTGTCGCTATACAAAGTCAACGTATAGATTATACAACTTATAATTGATATAAGTTTTTGCGCATCTAACGACGAGTAATATACAAATAATTATGTTTTGCAAATTATTGCTACTTATACTGACTATCAAATCTATACAAAAAGTAAAATATGTCAAACAATTTTACTCGCTAGAAACACGTTTCGTTTTTTTCTACGTAGCTAATAATTACAGGTTTGGGTCGATGGAAAATTCAACATTCCAATTTGACTCAACAACGCGTTCACGTGATCAGATAACAAATCTATTCGTTCTCAATCTCCAAGTAAAATCCTTCGATAAACTCGCAACAATATTCGTCATTATTTTTTTGTTTTTATCCCTCGAGTAAACAAGCTGATGCTCCAACAATTAGGCTAAACTTAACAACTATTAATTCGCTTATCAAAAGATCCTTCGAAGCGAAATTTGATTGTTATTTCATTCTTTCTCTTAATCAGCGAAGTTCTTGACATTTCTGGTTTTTTTTTCGTTTGTTTTCTTTGTTTGGATAAAAAAAACGGCGGAAAAACTAGATTAGCATATTATATTAGTTGGTACGTAATAATCGTTGTGCGCGGCTGGTATATTGCTTTCTATATATTAATAATTAAGATTAAACCAGATATCGATGCATTTTGCTCGAAGCAATCATTTCTTGCAGTCCTTAAATATTGTCATTATTTCTTCGTGAGACGGATTCGTAAACAGTTTGTTTTTTTAAGATACTTCAGTATATCCGTATCAATTATCAGGTTTTATCAAAAAAGTTTTCGCTATAAAACTTGCATTATTATATACTTATATATTTTGTAAAGGAAAACTATATTAGGGAAGTTATTCTTGGAAGCTAAAGCGCAGTCATTGTTTTTTCTTTTACTTTTGTGTGAAAAATTTAGATATTACGACAATTCCAGAACTCGATATGAAATCTTTTTAGCGTCTAGATTTAAAAAGTTTATATAGATACGTTCAGTACACACTTATAGATCATTTTCCATGTTAAACATACAAAAAGGATTGTTTCTTTCATTATACATTATATTTGCGATTGAAAATTCAATTATCTGACTCGATTTCATCATCATGTCGGACGAGTTCTTTTTAACAGTCTTTCGAACAAAGTGCATCAACCTGATCGTAATCGTATATTTTCGTATATTTCTTATTAACGAATATCAATGTTTTGAGCTACTTTGTTTAGATATATTTGTATAATGACTGGTATTTCATCGATTTATTATCATTGGTTGTCTTAAAAGTTGAAAACGCATAGTGGCCTCATTTACAGTGGAAGAGCCTATGTTATATTTATATAGAGTGATGTGTGTACAGCACGCGCGCGCGTGTATATATATACACACATACACACACACACACTGTACGACGTAGAAAGAGAATAAAGTGTGTTATATTCCGGACACGAGGTACTCGATAAATTTTCTGATAAAATGCTTGCGATCAAACTTCTATTCTGTTATCGTGGATATAGTTTAGGTGGAAGGAATGCGTGACGTGGAAGAACAAAATAACTAATAAAATTCACGGTAAAAAAACTAATTTTAAAATCTTTCCGTAATATTGCTCTTATTAAATGAAATTCGTTCGAACGAAAGAATAAAATTGTATTGTAAAAGGCGTTTGTGTCATACATTTCGTGTGTTGTTTATTACTTGAAGAAAAAGTGGCAGTATGTATTCTTTAGATAGTATCGCCAGGAGCAACAACAATTTATAAGAACGCCTGCATGCACTCGTCTTACGAGCAAACCTCTCGTAACAATTTTCCACGCTTTCCTGCCCCCTTATCAGCTTATCTGAAATTTCCGCGAATTTTTTCATTCGTTCTCCATTATATTCAAGCAGTGCCAGAATGAAATGTACACGTACCTGCGATACGTGTGTGCGTATACCACGAGCGTAATGGAAGTATCGTGCATAAGTGAAATAAATATAAAAGCTGCAAGCTTCTCTACAAGTATAGCAGTCTTTGCAGATGTTTAAAGATATAAATAGATAAAGAAGATGATTACAATATCTCATGCTCGAGTCAAGGTACAAAGTTTTTCTTTTCTCTAAAAAAGAAAACGTCAATTTTGTCTGTAATGACTGTTTTATCTTAAGAAATCATCGCTGTGAGAGAGGCGAGCAATAATTCTATGCAACGGGCGCACTTTTATACATGAATTGACAATTTTAGCGATATTAATCACAATATAAAAACGTTGGTTGTATAATTCCTCTTTGCTATTTATTGACGGTCTTTGGTTCGTTCGAAATTCTTCGCTTATAAATTTAAAATGATTCCGCCGATGTGTTCTGTGTGCGACATTACGGTTGCAAACAGGAAAGGATGGATGTGACATGTCGATGGAAATCAATAATTAAAAATGTGTAAAATCGAACTAGATTTTGTGATGTTCCGTTACCATGAGTCTATATATCACAATTGCAACGAGATTAAAACAGTAGCCTACTGTACGATTGGTCGAGAGAAAAGAACCGCTTTTGGCCTTTTCCCTTTTCGTTAAAAAATCTGCTGAGATATTCCATCACGTCTTTTTGTTGCTGCTCGCCTCCATAATTCAAAGCGTGAGACCAATGTGCCTAGCAGTGCAATTAGTGTTGGTGTTTATCATTGTCACATGTACATCAGTCTATAATGAATTTGCGTGGTTTCTTTATTATCGTTATACATAATTTACATATGTAGAAGATATTGTTGTCAGTCCCGGTTTAATTAAGAGTCAACGTGCTACCATCTGTTAATCCATCGCTCTAATATGCAAATATGCCGTCATTCTCAGACATTTTACGAATAGCGAGCATCCGCAGATTCATTTTTCCGCTAAAGTGCGCGATGATAGTATCTTATATATAAATTGACTTTACAAAAAACGCTTTACTCATAAGTGTCGATTATTGTAAGCACATAATGCACAAGTGCATCGATATTTCACTCGTATATATGCTAAAATATCGCGAAAAAAATGAACCAATAAAATGTCTTATGATTCCTCGTTACTCAAAAGTCAATTACCTAGAATCGATCGTTCCGTTTTATAATCGTTATCTTTATGTTTTTGCAGCTAATTGAAGCATCATAAAAGCGGAAGCGAATATATCTATGTAGATATATGTGTAACAAAATCCAGGTAATTGCTTTGTGATGAACACTCCGCGTAAGAGTGGTAGCACGTGTCCGTATATCTCAAGCTACGAGTATAGTAGTAATAAATAAGCTATGAAATACGTTAACATGACTCGCCTGCTGTATGATCAGACGAGGAATATCGACCATCTTTTTTCTTGCTGATCATAAGACAACTACTGCAACTCTTGTGTGTATGAGATACATGTCCGCGTACGCGTATATATACGTATTAATTATCGCAAAAAGCTTGACTGGCATACCCACGCGAATAACAAGTGTATCGTGTGTTTGTGTGTTGTGTGTCGATGCTTCATTGACAGTTTTATTGACTGAGCGACGTATCATAATTCAATGTCTAACAGTAAGTATAAAAAAAAAAGAATAATCGTCATATGGCCGTTTTATTTCTTCGCCAAAGAAAACGAAAAAGAAAACGCTGCTTATTAGATAAGAACTCAGTCAATAATACGCGATCCGAATCATGGCCTCACAAGTGTTCTTCTTGAGCCAGTGGCGCTACTGGTACTGCCGCTCCTTAATCGAATAGTACAGTTGGCCAGCGAAGCACCGGTGTCCTCTAGTCATTCCATTGGGTCGCCAGTCGTGTTCTCAAAGATCGTCGAGTGTGGCTTACCACTTGCAGACCATAAGAAACCACCTACACTGCCTGGTGGTAAATATGATGCTCCACCGCCAAGGCCGGATACCTGTTTTTTACGAGTATAGTGGGATTGGTTATATGTCTTGACTCGCGAATTTTCTAATGTGGTGAAATGCCGTACACAATTGGAATTTCTACTGTCGAGGATTGTGATTTAATATGTCAGCCCAGGATCAGGAACGTCATTGTGTTTAAAATTTTAATTTTCTATACTTTAATGATATCAATAAAATTATGATGCGAAATCACGATCGCATTGCGAAGTTCATGAAAATATTAAAGGAAAGTCAAATTTGTTATTTAACCTATACCGATTGAACGAGATTTCAATAGAAATCATACGCGAATACAAGTAGATCTACAATGTACGGAAGGAACTAAATATTGTTGGACATTTTTCTGTAAGTTCCTGTGATTTACAGCCAGACATCCTTGGGCCGACGAAACCTAAGGCATAATACTTGCTCCCCAGAATTATATTCTATATAAGGCCTTTCACCTTTATCCTTATTTTACGACAAAATTCATCATTGAATCCAAATATAATAATAATTAAATATCACAACAAGAAGATAATAAAAATTCAGATGGCCACTAAGTTAATTCAAACCAAGCAAATCAGTGTAAACTAAATCAATATATAAAAATATACGTATATAAATGTAATAGCAACATATATATAAAAACTAGCAGCGTGCAGGATCGGCAAAGGTATAGTATGTATTGTTGCATGTGACGGTAAATAAAATACTCGTGAATTAAAGAAAAATAATCATTTATTCAAATCAAATGTTGTATAGGAACATAATGCAGGTACTATAGCTATGCAGTGATCCTCATAGAACGGTATAAAAGACGCATCAATTTGTTTTATGTTTTTTTTATGTCTCATCACAGACGTATTCGCATTTCGATATATAGCTTTGGTAATTTGAAAAACGTTATACAGCATCTCATCGTTCCTCTGCAAAGAAACATTCGTTTTGCTTTTTTCTATGGAAAATTCTGCCACTTTAACACTAATATATTTTTGTCTCTATATAAAAGAAATAAAGAAAACAGATTCTTTCTTTTTTTTCTATTATTCTATCTTAAAATTACTTTATATGTCAATTATCTAATCGTTATTTTTTAAGATATTTTATTTAGTCGACAACTGTGATCTCTTAAGCGTATTTTTAGAAACTATTTTTTCATACTCCAAATAATAAAATATTCTTCATATGTTTCGGTAAAAGGTAAGCTAATAATAAGACTGTACGCATAAATAAATTAAATGATTTCATCGTAACGTACGAATAAAAAGAAAAGAAACTTGAGACAAAAATTTGTAAATGACATGCCTGATGCATCTTAACGTTGAAAATACGATATTGCTATATCGTCTCACTTTTCTCTCTTCCGCGCGAATAATTATCTCATTCGCTTGACTTACAATTCATTGCTAAGAAAAATGAAACAAAAATGCTTATATTATAAAGATTACATCACAAAGCTATAAATTTTTCGAAAAAACTGTGCCAATTTTATAAGTCGATATTCTCTTACAAGGGAACGTTCCCAACCCTCCGCCTCCCATTTTTCTGCAATTGAGATATGTTATAGTTCATAAAAAAACAAGCATAACGCTCTAGCAAGCGAAAGACATGTATACTTTTGTTTTGTAGAATGAACTATTTAGAGGGTAAAAGCTACCCCCGAAATTTATCCTCAACTATAGCGAAATCTTCGTAATTTACGCAGTTTTCGACGAAAAAAATTCTAAAAAACTCTTAAAAAATGTAAACTGTATATTATATATATACAGATTTCGTTTACAGGGTTTGCGACCCCCTATGTCGTCTAAGGACAAACTATGTTGTTTGCAACAAGGGGTTGCAGACCCCGAGGATAAAATGTTACCGATTTTTTAAGGGAAAACAAAGTTTATAAAATTCCATATAAAATCTGACACAAAAGTATACAGCTTTCGTCCCCGTCGCCAGAAGTTGCAACCCCTAAGGGAATAGAACATTTATTTGATACCCTGATGCCATACCACCACGAACTCCTGCATCCTAATTTCTTCGAGTAGGTTACTCTGCCACGTTGTAACCCCGAACCCTTACACTCCAATTTCCTTAACCTTCGAGCAGGTTACCCTGTCACACTATAATTCCGAACCCCTTGACCCTAATTTTCTTAACTCAAAATCATGCGAATTTTTGAAGTTTGAAATAGCTACGAGGAATTTTGTTTTTAAATCATTATATTTAATCAATATTACTATTATCCCTGATGAAATTCGATTATTATGGTAGTACTAAAAAATTAATTAGACAAACTGATTTTGCAAAAGTAATATGTGAGTACGAATTTTGTGAGGCGGTTTTTTTCAATATGAAAATACTGACATGAAATAATGTTAATCTTCATTTCCATGTAAACCACAATCAATGATGTACGTGGCAAACCAAATTCAAATTGTGGTATGACCAAAGAAACTCCAATCACCGAATACAGTTCATGTGGTTCAAACTGCAAAATATTCATTGCAACTAATGATATTACTATAATACTGCTTTAAAGGCTGACTTTTAGGGGTGGGTATCATCCATTAATAGCTTTTTCCACCGTTAAAAAAAGTACGAGTCTTTTATTTTCTTATGAACTATGACATATCTTAATTGCAGAAAAATCGGAGGTGGAGAGTTGGGAACGTTACCTTATTAGTGATGCATCATCACTTAATAATTAACATTAATTAATTAATATTTTTGTTTCTTCTATAATGTATTTTTTTAAATAAGTAAGCTAAAGAATAATTTGATCACCATAGAATACCGCATTCCATAAGTTTTTTTCACATTTGTTCGTTGCACAAAAAACCGAATTTACAAAGAAAATTAACTACGATAAATCATATACATTCGATTCTCCCCGTTCACACATAAAAACATAAAGAGAAGAAACTAATATATAAAAATGATAAAGCACATCATCGCAAGTTTTTCATACGCAAGATATACAACGAAATATTTGAGAACAAAAGAAAAGTTATAATAAGAAGCAATCGCTCGGAAGAAGACAAAAAGGTGTAACCAAAGTCTTGGTCTACTCTCTCACAAAAACTCAAAAAAAGAAAGAAGAAATACTGTATGTATCGGTATGTTTGGCATTAAAATATATAAATCATATATAATATGTACATACATAGAATAATAATAATAATAATAATAATAAAAATAAAAAGAAGACGAAGTTACAAGATTGGTGCGTGTCTAGGAGGTGATTACCTGTTGGCTCCAGAGTAGTGAACGTTCGGCCAATTGACAGTCAGCAGCGAGTCTTGATGGTAAACTCTTCCAGCGCTCGTCACCCGGTATTTCATCATCCATCGAATGTGGCACTTGATTATGATGCGGATGATGAAATTGTATGTGATGTGGTGAGGCGATAAGTGGCACTATTTGAGCACGTTTGTAACTATCCTGACGTGGCAAGTGAAGATGATGAGTTGGACTACCGGCACTACTGCCACGTTGACGATGGAAGAGGCTACGTTTTTGTTGTAACATTCGTTGCTGGACCAATAACTGCAGTTGCGTACCGGAATCCACATTACGCAGTTTGTATTGCGATGTCGATTGTGGTGAGGCCGGCGGTGGTCGAAGGTGCACCAAATCTAAGTGACCACGTGCTTTACCCGAGTCTGTAAACGTTTTGTTTTCTCGTTAGTAACATTTTATTTATCGGACTTGGAAACTTCAAAATGAAATTGTAAACGTTCTGTCGTACTATCGAACAAATAAAATAATAAAACTTCTATGAAATTTAATTATTTTTCATGAATTATTAATGGTCATTTACAAATGTAAATTACTGGCAATCTTACACATTGAAAGTCAATCCCCCCGGAAGAACAACACTGACAGAATTATGCAACACAGGCTCATTAACCGAGTCATTATCCAATGAGAACTAAAGTCAGCTCTGTCTGTTTTAATACAAGCTAATTAGCAGTTCTGCGTAGGAGTCAATTTACCTTGGATGCTCCTCTGCTTAACAGGTCTGTCACCGCCTCCTTGTTGTGTGAACATCAGCCTCGGGCCACCATCTGATGCTCTTCTTCCTTGTGCAGCAACCCTTGATATTCTACTTGCCGATGGCGATGGACTTTTCGGCGGTGGTGGTGTACACGACGGTAGACTACTCGTGAAACAAGTTCCCGAAGTGGTATAGTCGGGCGGGCAACCAGAATCGAAACTCGATTCAAAAAACTCCGATGATGAACTTCCATTACTTCCTCCGAATATACTGGCTCTTCCATTAACACCATTGCCATTGCCGTTCGCTTGGTGGTGGACATTTGATGACGGAGGTGGCGGTGGTTGATCCATTGGTTCGAGACCTTCGTTGAAATGTTGCTGTTGATAGTCGCTCAGTCGCCTATTGACAATTTGACTTTCGATGCGTTGACTGACGTCACGGTCGAGGCCTAATCTGTGCTCTTCCAGCTTGATTTGAGCATCGCGAAGTTCGTCACCCGAGGGTACTTGATCTTCGAGATCACCTTCAGCGCTACAACAACCTTCGTCGGTTGATGAACTTGTTGAGCTGAATCGTTTGCCGCCACGGCTAACCATCTCCTCACGGCCTCTGTAACAACCCAATTACCATCGAGTTCAGTTGGTATAACATTTTCTGAAAATAGCGACAGGTTTTTGTGTGTTTTTTTGTTTAGTTTGAAAGCATGGCAAGATTCAAGAACTCCTCATTCTATTACTTTTGTACTCTTAAAATGAAGTTAATTTCGTAAGATTATTATACTTGACATGCTTTCTAAAAAGCAACATAAAGTAACATTGAGTGTGAATAGTTTTACAAATCGATGATATATTGAAATAATCAATTCGTGCCGCATTGAGATGTTATAAAGGCGATGTTTAATAATCAGCAGATGATGAGTTATACAAAATTATTGTCGAAACAAACATATTTTGTTATATCAAAGCTGTGACAGACAATACGCTCCAATAAATGTTAGTACTGTCGCAGCCAAAAACCCAACAATGTTATAGAAAAAATAAAGTGGTATATCTACGTTAGCGAAAAGGATTTGATTGTGAATAAACAATGAATATCCAAAATTATTATATAATGTTTCATTGAGATTCGAAATGTTGATTAGATGTGAATTGTGCTTTTCGAAAATTAGTGTAGCAAGCATTAGACTGTTTTTTCTAGTTGATGACGGTTACTCACGACGAAAGGATGTTAACAACAATGCTTTAGAGAAGAGAAGCGAGTATATCAAGTTTAAACTAATTGTTAGATGAAAATGTAATACACGGATGCTTATATAAACAATTTAGAAAAAAATAAAACTCAAAAACAAACTAAATTGAAAAGCTGCAAAAATGAACATATCGACGTCCGTGATGTTAAACAGAGATTGATGACCAATATTGAAGCAAAAAAAAGCTAATTAAAAATCAGGTTAGTCGTAAAAGAAAGGCATAGAGCGAATATGGTATACATAAAGAAGATTCAAGCATGGGAACTGATACGGATGTCGTTTTTTGATATATTTTTTGTTGTTGTCTAAGTGAGAAAATTTACCAAAAAACTGAAAGAGACAGTGGACACAGCGTACGCGCGATGTTGGTCGAAATTTTTATAGCGGATCTGTCTCTCTTGCCTGTCAAAATTCTCAGTCTCGCATCCTCATAAACAACATTTGCTTGCTTGCTTGCTTGGGTGAGAGATTGTGTGAATTTTGTCTTTCGGCTGTGGTTTAAGGCCGATCAACATCCGACTAAGCTATCATCACTGCAAATAAAAAACCAAAAGAAAAACGATTAACAAAATAAGGCTCCGCCGTCGTCATTGTGGCATCCCTCTGTCCAAAAAATCTTTTTTTTCTTCAAGTGTTTTTTTGTATATCTGAATATTGATGATGATGGCTTCATAATTTTTTGCATCCCTCGATGAATTGCAGGCGGAAGCAGAAGTTAACGGACAGACGCGATAGAGAGGCGAGCAACTTTTTGATTTTCTTTTTTTTTTGTCAGGAGACGGATTAGTATAACCGTGCAAGTGTGATGTGGTTGGGATGTGTTTTGTATTTGTATAGTGCTCTTGTAAAAAGAAACAAACAACGTTAGTGTTAGCGTGAGCTCACAATTAAAATTTCACATTAGTTATCTCATTATATTCCAAAATTTTGTAAAAAGGGGCCGTCTTAAAGTTATGTTATATATCAAGTATTTATATATTATTGTGAATAGGTGCTGGGGACATTATTGTGTTTGACATGCCTATGTAAAATTGTTATAATGATTGATAGTGTTTATAAGTACATTTTAAGTCCGTGAGTACGTCACTTGTATATAAATCAAACTCCTTTACAGAATTTCTCGCGAAGGTAAAAATAATATCTCTTGTGTAAACAGAAATCGGCAATTATTGTTGTTTCTCCTTTCAAGGCTTTGATTATTTTCTTCCTGCAAGGATGAAAGCTGTAATCGAAGCGTCGAGAGAAGAAAAAAAACATAGCTTTCGTTGTACTTATAAACTATCGATCGCTGTGGCGCATGTAACTTAGTGTACGTGCTTTTAATGAGTTTATCTAAGCATCGATCAACGTACCTCGACTTGAATTTCTCCTCCTTCGTACGATTTCGATGCTGTTTCAGTCTTTCAAGAAGTAAGAAATAAATGGCTGCGTGATGATCGTAACTATTGTTTCTCAATGACTGCAAAGAGAGACAAAAAAACACATGAATCGCGGATCGATGAAGTTCATCTTTAACGAAAAATACTCACTTCTCGTATGCGCGTAATATCGATACCAAGACTATGCATGAGCCTGAGAATCTGTTCATTAGGTTCCTGCAAAGACGGTGAGATAGTGGGCACCGGTGTACGTAAAACGGCGTCACTCGAGCCAGCCATCCATCTGTGCCTCTTGATTTGCGGTATTGTGTATCTCTTCGTGGGCTCGAGTACCAGCATCTTTCTGATTAGACTCTCGCATTCTGCAACCGCCAATATATTGATTTATGTATTCATGACACAATGATGAGGATTCACGATTACACTTCTTCTAAGCTAGTTTTCTTTCTTTTAGGTGCACGAGAGTGATTTTAATTGATCAATATTGAAGATCTGTATATTCATTAATTCATTTTTATGGAATGATCTCAGAATTGTGAAATTTCTCTCTCGAAAACTGATTAAAACGTCTCGAATTTACTAGGTTCTATGAGATACTCCACGTGCGACACATTAACGATGTCGATAAGCTTTTATGAGCGCTGTAAACACAATGTCACACGAACTTAACGAGAGCTTGCCTATATGGAATACTTATTATAATGAGCTCTCTCTCTCTCTCTCTCTCTCTCTCTCTCTCTCTCTCTCTCTCTCTCTCTTTTCGATGAGTATCGCTCGTGCATTGACATCACGATAACCGAAAGTTCGATCGTTATAACAAATAGAGAGCAGATATTGGAATTGAGATAGATAAAAGCATTTGTCAAGATTTCTCGATAAGCTTTTTTTATGAGCACATGATTTGAACGCGAATGTATAATACTCACCTGTGGACATAAAGTAGGGTATGCGGAATCTACCACTGAGCACGCGATCCCTCAGCGATTGAAGTGTCGAACCATCGAAGGGTAGTGCTCCGCATACAAGGACGTATAAAACCACTCCTAAGCTCTGCAAATTAAACAGAGAATTTCTTTCTTGAATTCACTCTGCGATAAGTTGATAACATAAATACTTTGACGACACTCTTTTTTAATTCTGTTGTGTAAGCATGTGAAAGAGATATTTTGACTCTGGATAAAAAAAGAGCGCGACTCGCCAACTTATTCTTAACGCTGTGGCGAGCGAAAAAGAAAAATCGATTGACGTAATTCACGAGTTTATTACTCCAGCGCACAGTGCCGACGAAATTGCTGACTCGGGCGCTCTTCCACCACGCCGCTACCATTATCTACTTACACTCGAGTTTTTTCGAGCGATAGATGATGCAGTGGAAAAAAATTGCTCTTTGACATTTTTAACGCCTTAGTCTCTCTAGTGATTATAATGAGGTGTAAGGCTATGACGTTGAATGGTTTTAACGTTTTTGAGCTTTCGCATTTTAAATGCTATTAACATATGAACATGTTGTCATTTGAAATATAAATACATAATAATTCCGACATACTTTGTCTGAAAAAAAATATCCTTTCTAACACGCTGCTCGTTAAAGTATATGAAAGTTTCAATAAAAATAAAAGATTAGGTAATAAAAGAGACTCACCCAAACATCGATTTCAGGTCCGGCGTAATGCCTGCCCTTGAAAACTTCGGGCGCTGCGTAAGGCGGACTTCCACACCAAGTGTGAAGTCTCTCACCAGGCGCGAAACGATTGCTAAAACCAAAGTCAGCGATCTTGACGTTCATCTGGGCGTCGAGTAACAAATTCTCAGCCTTGAGATCACGATGTGCGACCCCGGTAGCATGGCAGTATTCCACCGCTGAAAGGATCTGAGCGAAGGTTGAACGTGCTCGTGGTTCGGCCATTCGACCATACCTTGCTATATAGTCGAAAATTTCACCGCGACTCGCGTATTCGCATACCTGTAATGAAAAATGCGGTTTCATGAGCGGCGTCAGTTAAGGTCGGCTTTCAAATGATATATTGCATGAATTTCTAATTTTTTATTGCTTCAACGACACCATTGGCTTTGTACTTCAGATCTTTTGGAGACGAAGTTTTTGATTTAATAAGACAAGACACGTTAATGCGGTGACGATATTTCCATTATTTTTTAAAGTGTATCAATGCGAATTCTAGACATTTTTTTGAGTAGTAAGGAATGAAAAACCAATGGTTTTTGCATCTTCCTCTGAATAAATTTTCATATTCCAATTTTTCGTAGCTCAGACACTATTACTTTTAATATAGTACTTTTAGTATCACGTTGTATTAAATAATCAATGAAAATTTATATAAATATACAAGTAGCCAAGATAATCTCATAAATCTCTACTGACATGTTTAAAATACGTTATCTGATGAATTTGCAATAGCTACGAAAAAAAATATTGTATTATACGAAAAACAAAATTGGCATTCTTGTTGCCAATTCTGGCAGTATAAATTGTGTATACTCGTCTCTCTCTCTCTCCCTCTCTCTCTCTCTTTGTCGGGCAGCTATTATTACGAGAATCCACGACCCCGAACATCTGATGTTAGTGAACTTGACGACGGTCATATGTTAATTAATCCGAAGACTCAAAACCGGCTTACGATTGTGATATACTTAAAGTGTATCGATCTTTTGTTTTTTAAAGAATACCGTGACACTAAATATGTCGTAAAATAATTATTTTTACTTTTATGTACCTGGGGTCATTCACGTAAATTCGTATTTGGGATACCAGAAAAGAAAGCTTTCAAATCATACCGACTAATTTATTGCAAGAAATAGCTTATTTTCTTTGGAAGAGAGAATTCTGAAGATTTTTGGAGCCACGCCGCGGGCACGCGACAAGCGTGTACTTCCGTTTTGAAAGGCTTTATACATATTCAAGACTGGAGATTGAGTTCCTTAAAAAGTGTACCTGTAACTTTGTTTTCTTTCAAGAGAAACCAAAATTACTCGATGAGCAAAAATATACAACGATGAATTCGCATAAAATTAGAGTGATGACCGTTACAATTTTATCGCGGAATAGTCATCTCTTATTCAAATCTATAGCTTTTGAGGAATTCAAAGAAAGTATTGTTTATTTATAATCAAAGCCGCAAGACGGTGTATAAAACAGGCGCAAACTCGATCAATCGCATGATATCAAATCCACGTGTATCTTATCCATCAAGAAAAAGATCAGCGCCAATCAGGCGCCACAAACGAAAATAAAGCTTATCCAAAGCAGCGAAAGAAAATACAGGCCGAAACGTTAAAGGATAATCTTTTCGAAAACTCACCATGTAAAGCATATTCTTAGTCTCCATCACCTGGTAGAGCTTAACGATGTGAGGATGTTCCAACTGTTTCATTATCTCGACTTCGCGATATACTTTCTCTAGATTTGTAGAGTCCAGCTGGCTCTTGTCAATTATCTTAATGGCCACCTGCAGAACAGAAAAAAGCAGCCCGCGTGAAGTCTTCGTTCATTTGCAAAGAGCGAGAGAATCGAGGTCGTCCCTTTGTCTATCGCACATTCGCACGCCACGCGACCTATGACGGAAGTTTATTTGACACACGTATACAGGCTTCGCTAAGATGGTCGTGCAAGTTTAATTTTTCTTAACGTCTTAGTGATTATTTTTCTACGAGAACATTTCCTTGTTTTTCATCTTCGTTACCGATTGCAGTCTTTTTACTGTAACTGTATGCAACGCGTCCGACCGAGCGAGCTTTTACGAAATCACCAAGAAGCTCGCCTCGGCGTTGCACGTCTAAAAACTTAAAAAGCAACAACTGCAGATGGCGCTTTCTCAATTATACATGCAGCGGCTAATTATTTCGTCTAGGCAAAAGTGCAGCTTCCCGACTCGTTTACAAACGGAAACTTACAACTTTTAAATAGACTGAAAGTTTTTCTAATAGAGGAATGTTACTCTGCACGTATGGTACAGACAGTTCTACCGTTTCATATTTCTTGAAAATACTTTATTCGAGTTGAGTGTGATTATTGTTTCATGAACAGCGTCTCCTTATTCACAGCATAATCGTCTCGACGACTTTTTCATAATACTTTGGGCAGACATGATCGTCAAACGAATAATCAAGTAAATTAGTTCATAGTAATTAAAATAGTCACACGCGACGTTTCGCTTCAGTGTTTCAAAATTATTATTTTTCATATTTCAAGGGAACGTCGCACCTCGTAGAAAAGATTGTCCGATAGTACGGTTAAAATTAGATTTAACTACTTTTAAGATTTTTCACCTTTCTTTTCTGTTTTATGGTCACACTGCTTATCGTTACGCTTGGTTTCGCCCGTTTTTATCTGCCTACGGGACACTGTGACACAAAGTCATTAAGCGAAGGACGTCGATTGCGTGATTGGTTTTTTTCCAGACTACACAGACTTGCGATTGTTGTGCGCGCGTGGTGATGGACAGGAAGTAACTATGTTACTTTGTTTTTTCGAGGGGATATGGTTTGCGGCTACTGTTTTTATAAATTTGTAGTGAGAGAACAAAACTCGATGTATATTCACTTTTTTTTGTTGTTTCTGCCTCGAGGAGGTATGAAACAGGCTGTAGTTTGATTTCCGAATCCGTAAATGAAAATTTTCTAATTCTAATATAAAAGACACTTAACATTGGTGAAAGTGTGTTTGCACTTTGAACTAATAGCCAAATATGTAATAGTTTTAAACATTGAATGAAACAAATGGTTGTCGTGAAATATCCTATCATTGATTACCTGATTAGGATTACCCGAAAGCGATATAACAAGCACGTTTAAACAAGATTAAAAATTTATCATTTGAACTAGTTGAATACTCAAAAAGGATACATAATAAAATATACGATGAACGAGTGGCAGAGAGGTAAATAAAATCGAAGGCGGAAAATTACTTTACCTCGGTCTTAGTGATACGATGCCTCGCCAATTTGACCACAGCAAAGTTGCCTTTGCCGATGGTCCCTTCGATGTCATAGAATCCCACGCGGATTTGCTTTTTACCCTGGCCCGTTCCACTCTCCATTTTTCCCTCATAAATCACTTACTACGCTTTCTGGCAAACGTTATACGGCTCCTGTGCCTTCGCCGTTTCTTCTTTTTTTTTTATTCGATCACCTGCAATCAAAATCCAATTTGTTGTAAAATAATAATTATCAAACGCTTTTTTTAATATACGACTGGACATTGAGCTGTAGCTGTGACTATAATAAGACAGTCTAGAAAATGTAACAGTACAGCATTTTTTCTGATAAAATGCAGAATTAACAACTCTCGTTATCTCTGTCGCAACTAACTTTTCAATAACACTCAAAAAAAAAGAAGCCAACGCCCGTCCAGCTAATTGTATTAAATCCCGTGTCGAGTGGGTAAAATGTTCGCGAGCAAACGAATTGAAGTGCTAGAAAGCGCGCTTTACAAGGTTATAGGCGAGCTCAGCGAAAAAGACAAGAAGTTGAGCCGAGCGTGACGTACGAAGTGTCGTGAAGTGTGAACCGGTTATTCGCATTGTTGAGTGCTATCCATGCTAGTCTAGGAAATTTTTTTTTTTGCATTTAGGCACGTATTTTATTCAAGGAGAGAGAAAGAGAGAGAAGCATATCGAATTGAGATCACGGCAACTTCACGAAAGCTATGTGCATGACGTATTTTTTTAAATAATAGATACGAGTTGATAGCAAATTCGTTGTTGTCCTATTTTTAGAACTTTTTTTCTTGACAGTTGAATGTTGTATCATTAACCTAAAGCTGATCAGATGATTTACAATCCAAAGAATCTATCTAAACTTCTAGTATTCTAAAAAATTTGTTGTTACATATGCCATAGTAACTTTTACAATCAGGTTTACGCCTTCTGAATGAAATATTTGAAAAGAATTAAACTTTTTTTTTTAAATTAGTTTAAAGGGATAGAATCCTTCATTATGCAGGGAAAAGAGAAAATATTATCATTCCATTAGAAAAAGAAAACATAAGATTAGATTCGTGAAAATAGAAGGGCTTTACGAGTGATGAGGAAGAGAGAAAGAAAGAGAGAGGGAGAGAGTATATGGAGTTTTCGTCTACACATGTATACAATATATGCGATATCTCAATTCTCAAAGAGTTTTCATCGGCAAAAAAAGCGACGGCGGAGCTTGGGAAGAAAAAAAAACTGCCCTTTGTATTTGGTAGACAATGGATACATGCATGACAAGGTGGCCTTTCTGAAAACACTCAAAAGAGAGCTTACAGCAAAGGGTGCTGAATATCTACGAACAAGTGGCTTTCTGTTACCCTTCTCTCCACTTCTTGCTACTAGCGATTCAATGGACGAATCACAAAAGGAGAAAAGGATTTTTTTAGTACTTTATTAATACCGAATTTTATTTTCTGAAAGTACAATGAAATTCCCAGTGAATAAGCTCGAACTCGTTCTCTGAGAGATTTACGCCGACACTCGCCTAATTTATTAAGAGTAATTTACGAGTAAAAGAAAGGGGATATCATGAATATATCGATCATATCTTTCATCGCACTCGCAAATCATCATTTGTAAAAATCACCATCGATCAGCGATTAAAAATACGATGTAATCGCGAACCACACGTTCTTATCTTTATGAAACGCAGGAGCGTATCTTCTTCTTATCCTTTTATCCTCTTATAAAAAAGGGAACCTAACAAAGTGAAGCCAGTTTATTCGTGATTTGATTGACTGAAAGATAGTCACGTGGTTAGCTGTTATGTGATAGCATATATGTATTGTATACACTCGTACAGATTTTCGTAGATTGAATGTTTGAAAAGTGTATCAATATTGTTAATATGAATTTAATATGAATGGTTGATTTTAAATAAAAACCGACTGATAATTCAGTATATAGAGAACTTAATTAAATTTTACTTTATGAGAAAGTTTAGTTATGAATAAACAAAGTACACAATAAAACATATACTCGTATATCGATAGATTATCATGATAAAATATTGAACAGTGATTTCGGCTTTATTAAATTCCGTGAAATATAAGACATTTTTTTTTGAAAATGTACTGATTACAACTGTGAATGCCCACTGAAGTATGTTATTTACATCGTGTAGGATATAATTATAGAAAATTATAATCAATTTAGAACTTATCTCATGTTTTTATTGTATGTTTCAAATTTTTGAGTAATTATTTTTCAACACATACCTTCGGATAAAAACTGATAACTTCACTAATGACGTTTTTAAATTAATATCAACATAACTGCATATTTATTTACTAATAAAGAATATTGTCGGGTATATCTCATATCAAATCATGGAAACATTTAAATTTTCAATTTCATCTCTAAAAGTTTTGCATATTAAAATGAATGTAAAAAAACGCGCGAGAAATGAGCGTGCAAAGCGCGCTATACATCACTAGTGACAATTAAGAACGAAAACTCACTTTTCCTCGATCGGCGCCAACTCGAAATATACATCAAGAGAGATTTAGCCGCTGAAGACACCTCCACACATACGGAGTCTATCCGCAAATCCAAATAAGTTCATAGCAAAACTATTTTAAATCCTCGGCGACGACGGCTTGGTGTATGTGTATGTATTGCATCGACTGCTACTGACTGCCTCTATATAACCGCCCCGGGAGCAGCAAATGTGTGCGTGTCTGACTGCATGGTATATATACAAGCGCAGCTTGCATGCGTCAACCGGCAACAAGTACGCGTACGCGCTGACGTCACTATGAGCACAAGCGAGGCTCGCGACCTCAACTCTTTCTCTCTCCCACGGGAAATTTAGTTTTTTTCAGCTGCCTAGCGCGTGATTCTTAATTTTTTTATCTTTTCAGTCGTTAAATGATTTTTTTCTGTTCTACTGTGATTAGATTTAGGAATTTAATTAATGAATTATGCAATTTAGCCAATTTTATCAATAGATAATGTACGTTCATGAAGTTCATATGGCAAAGAGTCAATGCCGGATGTTTTTTTTGTCATTATTGCCTGCATATCCATCGTTTTCATCGCCGAGATAATTAATAATATTACTCATAGGCTTTGATAGCAAAAACAGGTGAAAGCGAAGTAGATCGGCTTCGCTCTGATCGAAGGCCACGCGCGAGTTGCTTGATGGAGCTTATTAATAGAAACGTGACGATTTATTTATAAGTTTAATCATCTGGAAATAGGGTCGGCATATGATTTAAAAACGTGACTTTATATTTCACAGTCACTTAGGAACACTGAAAAATTCAAGTTAATGTAATTATTATTTGTCGTACAAACTGACATCTAATTGCTAGTGATTGCGTTGAATAACCTATGAAGCTTGGCTAAAATTTTGCTATTGTTGAACGTATATCTCTTACGAATACGTAAAAACGAAAACAGTGCAATCTATTTGATTAGAAAAGTATAAATAAAACATTGCTACTGCTTAAAAGTATATTATCATATACATTTAAATTTTAATTCACTTTAAAAGTGCGCTAAAAAATTCATATGAAAACAAGTACTTGCAATTAATGCAAATTACGACTATTCCACTTTCGATCTTTCCGTACGGTTACGCACGGAGAAATACGAAGAGACCACGCTACACGTAGGCGTATCAAAACAACAAACATCAGGTGTAATAGAAAAAAACGGGAAACAGAATTACACCAGATCGTTGAAACTCCCTCGAGGCAGACGGTAGTCGTCGGAAATGTGGAAAGTCCGAAAAAAGAAGGAAAAATTAACGAGAGAGGCGGAAATCGCTGTCGCGTGCTCGTAACGAGAAAATGAACGAGCGGACGGACATAAAAAGCTCAAATTTTCGCTCGTTATCGATAGCTTCGTTTGTATTTTTGCGTTTCTGTCTTTCTATGTCGACGAAGAGGGCACACGCAACTTTCGCGGGTGTACATACGAGGTCGTTGGTTCCTTCCTTATCGACCAGACATCTAACGTTAATATTTACGTATGTCTTTATTGTATTGACGGATAAGGCGTATCGATGCGGCGTTGCGTTCGACGTTTGCTAACGAACAAAGTGTAGGCGCGGTGATAAAGCAATCGGCTAACGCATTAAGCCATACGTTGCGGAGCTAGTGATAAAAAGAGAAAATGTGTGTAATTAAGCGATTGTACACGAGTTGTTTATTGTTTTATAGGAGCTATTGCATTGGGCAGCCGTGTACGTTTGAGAAAGAAAAACACAAAAGTTTCAATCAGCCGCAGTCCGAATTCTGCACTTGTACTAGTATCGTAGAGTCTTAATATTGTTTCTGAAATAGTAGAACCAACGAGAAAACCCGTTTGCAATTAAGCGGGTAGGAAGCGTTTGAAATGCGTGAAAAAGGAACAAAGCTTCTCTGCTTGATTTTCAGAGAATTGCACTTGTTTCTAGTAGAAAAAGAAAAGCCTTTCTTAGCCGATTTTCGTCAGGTTCGTTTGACGAGACCGTGCAGCATGTAAAACTTTTGTTCAGCAAGCAAACGAACCGCGGTCGCATTAATTGATACATGCAGATCGTTAATCAACAAAATAGCAGCTCTAATTACAATAAATGTCCTCGAGTTAACATTCGATTGTATAAAAAGCTCGCAAGGTACAACGAATGCATTGACTTTGTCAATACAAACTCCATCGTGAAAAACATCATCAGCAACACATAAAAATCACTTGTTGAGAAAGTTGTACACTTGAAAGAACGAGGAGGTGGTAGTGGCGTCTCGCGAGGAATAATGATCGTATACGCGGGCGACGGGTTCAAAAACCTCGTCGGGGATCCTCTGCCGGATCGATGCCCGAAAGCTCTCTCTTTCTCTCCACTTGCGCGCTCTACCCCGGGAAGCATTCCTGCCGCGGTGATAGCGTTTTCGACGAAACCAACCAAAAAAATCAAAGGCTCACCTCGATCGATCCCATCAGTCTCTGCACTTTTTTATTCAGCTCGCACTCTAGTTGCTCTTTAACACATGTCACACTTGAAAGTTAGCAACACACCGGAAAGGAAAGAAAAACGCGCGTGTCTGTCTGTATAAAAAAGAAACAGCCTTGCAAAAGAGAAGGCGCAAGAGCTGTTTTATCTTGCTGGCAGCTCGAACGAGGCACCAGCGAGACGGTGGTTCGATACCGACTGCTTCTGCCTCTCGGCGCAGGCTGGCAAAGCTGCCGAGCGGTGCGCGCCGGCCATCTTTGTCGCTGGTCGGAGTGGGGCGACGACCAAGTACTACTACTACTACTACTACTACTACTACTACTACGTTGCCGCGTTACGTGCACGCTCTGTGTGTCCCGGCGAAAGCTTTCGCGCTTTAACTCTCCGGGATTGTCGTACAGCCCGCCGCCTTCGTGAACTCTTACACACGTATGCCTTCGGGAGGTTGTCGTCGGCGCTGCTACTCCCCCTCCTAATGCACACGACGGCAACGCTGTCTGACGTGATAAACGATATTGACAGCAGACTGATTTTTTGGGTGGCTGTGCTATAATCCGATCACTCATGTTCGCTGATTTGTTTGTTTTAACAATTAGCGACGCTGGCCGACGTACGTTTCGGGGAGTTTTCTTGGCAACGACTTGGCAAAACAAATATTTGCTTCTCGTTAGTGAAAATGATGCAATTATCGGTCGTTCTCCATTGGATTTGTCACAATTTCAATTTTATATGCCATTTGTTTGATTGTTAAGCTCACGCTTAACAGTATTCATGTTTATTCTTAGAATTACATCTATCGCGGTAAGCTTTCCAATGATTATTTCGATATATTCGTCAAAGTTTGAAAATTAATGTTGTGCCCATTTAACACCGTGACATCGGTTGGTAATCCACGAAAAGCTCGCAGCGGCTTCATCAATTACGACTGACAGCCGCCTACGTTTGAGTTCGTAGACGTTGCTGGCTGGCGTAAGTGTATGTGTATATGGTTCGTCACACCCACCCCCTTCTGCGACATTACCACGGGCGTTGTACAATTCTCTTTCCATTGAATTTGAATTGTTCGCCCACTACGTGATTAAAATCGGTTTCGCAGAAGGTATGCCATTGGATTACAGCGTGGGTTGATTAAATTTCTCATGACGCGATTGGAAAACACACATCAATTTTTTCACTTATTCGCTCATAACATTGAACAGGATATTGCAGTATGTGTTCGGGAATCGATGCAGTATGACGTCAAAATAGCGACAGCCGTGACCTTTCTTAATTTTGGCAAACTTGGCTGTAAAGTAAATTTCAATCCTATTTTCCTATTTGAATCATTGCTCGATTCGGTGAAATACGCGCTGCTATCATTTGCAATTACAATTTCAAGAAGGAAGTTTTCACTGCTACAATTTGTGCCTGCTCGTAAAATTCTAATTTAATGATGCCGCCGCCGCAACGAAAGCTAAGTCATTCGTTTTTTGATACCGCACCGACTTTGCAAACGACGTAGGAAGTGAATTTAAAAAAGCAAAGGTACAATGTCGCATTATTGGCATCTATTTTACTTTCGTGCAATGCGACGAATTGATTAACCACTAAAAGGGGAATCGCAATCTAAAAATCAGAGCTGGAGGAGCGAAGAAAGGTCAGCTCCGGATTATAAAAAGCACTAATTTCGCCGACTATGTGTGTGTTTCTTGGGTTCCTTTCACGAGTGCGAGCAGCATAATGTCTACGTCAGTGGTGGTAGTAATGACAAGCAACCCCTGCAAAAATTTTCACGATGTCTGTGCGTGATCTCATTCTGCTATCTTGGAATAAATAACAATTGTTGTTGAGATTTATACTGATGATTATTGTAAAAAATTTTATCGTCGATGACGGCATCGTATCTAAGAAAACTTATGCAATGTAAATACCATTGTCTGAGATGCTGACCGTGAAATTTATTAATCTTTTTATAACTGTTATTTTCTTATCATCTTTATAAGTAGAAAATTATTCAAATGTACTTATAATTCAACGAATATATTAGCTTGTCTATTACAAGTTTACGGTAGTTTTTTCTTATACAGAAACGTGAATTCTAGCTTTTAATGCACAATTCTGGACCTAATGTCGTGTTATTCGGCTTCAACGGTTTGCATTTCGCGACGCTGGTACATGCGACTTTTATGGATTCGGTCCAGTTCCAGTCAATATAAGAGGATTTTCAGAAGTGATTTCCAAAGGGTTGACGTCATTAAATGTCGATGAGTCGATAGGTCGATATCTTAATTGTCGTTGAATGGCACACTATTTTATGTACTACAAACCACCTAACAGTGTTTATATATATATATATATATATATATATATATATATATATATATATATATATATATATACTGCCATTCGAAAAAGAAAGAAAAATAACAAAGTTATGCAGTAGAATATTATTAAAAGCATTTTGTAATTTATCAATATGCACAAATGCTTTTTAATCAAACACTTGGATGTGAACGGCCTATTCAAGAATCTATTTTCAAGAACCAACTATTTATTTTGTAAAAACGAAAAAAAACTTGCCTTTCAGTCATATTTTGGCTTATTGCGCCGGAAACTCACACGTTACAGATGAAGCAGTCAACTCCAAAGGATTATGAAGCATAAATAAGACGTAGTACCTCTATGTCAACTTGTGGCCCTTTTGCGTTTGAGCTTTTATGAGTCTCACTGACGTCAATCGGTTCGTTCTAAGACTGTACTGAAGCACTTTGTATATATCTTACCCCCTATTCTGATTTACCGTAAAAAAGTTTTCTTTCAAGGTTTACGATCAACGACGACATTCTCTCTCGCGAGTTATTTATGTGTTTATGACTTTGGATTTCAACTAGGTAGTGAACAACACATTGCCATAAGTAAACCTTACGTAACGAGAAAATATATTATACAATCATGGATTGTAAATCTAATAAGTTTTTTTATGAATATTATACCTTTTTTTACGTGAAACATTTAAATTTAAACACATTCGTAATTTAATTTGAACCAAAGCTACCGAGAAATCCATTAGGAAATTTCGATGGCTCTAATTAAATGTCCGCAGGGAGATGAGTCTGAATTAACTATAGCGTCGACGTGAAAAGCTAGGGCACACCTCAAGCAAGTAATTTCAATCGGATGCCTTATGAGATTTGTCGCGAAACTGTATTTTTTATCTCTTCGATAATCAGGTCGGAAAATATATCCGTTCAAATAGCCTCAACGATAGATGTAATGAAAATAATTGAAATGCCAATCACGCGAATGGAACGAGGAACGTTACGATGTTGAATAGTTAAATAAGCGTCAACCAAATAATTATGGAACGAAACAGTATAATCTATGGCATTTCATTATTGTTCGCGCGAGCTTTTTCAATCAATATTAATGGAATAAATAAGGAAAACTGCGCGTGCAGTGTTGTTTTCTTTCCAAGAATGTAAATACTGCGAGATTTCAATTGCAAACAAACTTACTTTTAATTGAGTGCGAGCAAACTACTTTTAGTTTTAGTAATATTCTTCCACGGTCGCAATATACGAAGAGCACGCGTATACGTGTAATAGCAGACAAGCGCTAGCACATACCGATGGGATCTCCTAGAAGACATCGCGTTCAACACACTCAGCATTTGATGGGCACGCGCGAAAAAGTGATCTTGCAGCACACCTTATTACATTCCTTCTGGCGGTTAGCTGAGCATGCACGCGCATTTTTTTCGTTGCCCTCATTACGAAATGTCTTTCGAAATGAAAAATTGAATGTTTCTTCGTCGATCGTTTACAACATGTACAACAGTGCATTTGACCGTGAATAGTCCATCGCATCAAGATCCACGCTCAAACACACACACGCGCGTCGCGTGTGTAAACAGCGTATAATACGTCTGCCGCCTCGTCATCGCGCATTTATCGCCGCCGTGCACACGCGTGTCTCCCCGACGGTTGTAGTGGCCTTCGCTGATCGATTCGGCCCTGTCGCCACGACCAATCGTCGCTAGTACAAAACTATACTGCTGACGTCAGAGAAGCAATACAAAGCGGAGCTTTTCTTTTTTCCTTTCTTTTTTCGCTGATTGCCTTTGTACAGAAAAACTCGTAATTGCAAGCCGCATATTTATGCAATCCATTGATTTTCCGTTTTTGAGAAATTAAAACAGCGTGTGGGTTTCGAGGATTGAACGGTTGCAACGAGCACAGCTTTGTCCGTTCGATATGAATGTGGGTCGAATGGTGTCGATTGATTAATTTTTTTTTGACGTTTGACAAGAGGCTAGCTGAGTGTTCCATTTTTTTCTCTGTTCAAGTGCCAACGTGAGAAAATATAAATTATATATTAGAATTTGTTCTACACCTTTACTGTCGATTCTACACCTGATCGAACGTTCTTTTGATTTTATTTTTTATTTGGTAATGTTGTAAGATTAACAAAGAACAACACGATTACCGCTCGAAATATTCATTCATTGATTCGGAAGTAAACATTATAATCAATACGTAATCAATCAATAATATAACTCTAATAGATAATTCACAAACTTATGTAGCAGAAGATAAATTTGAAATGCTTCCTGTGATTTACGTTAAACTAAAAACTGTCATATTAATAGAATTGAAAGACCGTGAATCACAACTTTGATATAAATTAATGATTACATTTTTTGGAGAGAATACATATCAGCTTAGTTAAATCGTTATATCCGCCTAACACTTCAATATTGATTTCTCATTATTCTCGCAATTCTCATGGAAACTTAAATATCGACTAAATTTTTTATAATTATCCCGGAGTATAATGCGAAAAAACACATACGGACACCTAATAACGTTCTCTTGAGTTGGTCGAGTGCTTGAAACACTTGACGTAGTTTACCCCATCATCGCGTTCCGCTTACATAGTCAATGCACACGCACAAGTACCGCATTGCTTGCAAAAGAGAACTGCCCGTTATCTGTATATCTTTGTTTGTTCCCGACTCGATTTTACTTGCTTAGGACTCGATTATTGCACACGAGACTGAATAATTGTACGATGCTTTATGTTACTTTTTTCTGTGGTGAAACACTTGAATTTGAATAAACAAAAATTTTATGTAATATCGCGGTTCGACCAAGAAAATTTTATTCTAATAAATTTTATCCGTTAAATATCTTCTTTCTTACAAATGTTCGCAGAAACGGTAGGTTCAGAA